ATTTCTCTCTCTCTCTCTCTTAATCTTATGCTCCCTCTTGATGTGTTCTGTTCTTATTGCTCGTATAACTCTTAATTTTGATCATGTTCTTATCTTCCTCCGCCTTATTTTTTGTCTTCTTCCTGGTTTATGGTCATCTTATTTCCCTTGAATCTAATTGTTTAACTTTCTTCTTGCTAATAATATCTAATAGCTATTGGTCAAGTCAATCGATCTCAATTGACTAACCCATTGGAGAGATATTGCTTTTTTTTCTTATTGCCCATTCGATTCATAAAGAAAATAAAAGAAGGAGAAGATACAGAAAAAAAAGGTTAAGTCATTCTGATCTGGGATGCATATGATGATTGAGAAAAAGAAAGAAAAAAAGATTCAGAACATGAGCCAGAATATCTACTAACTATACACCAAGAAAATGAACAAGAATGAAGCCCATGAAAAGAGCAAGAAGTTTTTTTTTCATGATAAGATGAATGTCTACTTAATGTTTCCTTCTAAATGCTTGGATAGTTACTCACCCTTCCAACCTCCTCCTCCCTCTCCTTTCATTCACATGTTATTAGTATATATGGATACTCCTTTTCTCTCCCACCATTCACACTCTCTATCCTTTTCATCCCTTTGATTCTTATTGCACATTCATTTCAATGAATTTCTCTCTCTCTCTCTTTCTACTTTTTTTTATAGCTTTTGCTGTTATACGTTTTTTTTACCATTATCAAAGCAAAACGTATATTATATTATATTGCAATGTTGTTTTTGTTTGTTGCCTTGTGATGTTGAACCGGTCATAAATTAACGCAAATCCGGTCTTAACATTAAAAGGCACGTATCCCCTTACATTGGAAGGGATGATAAAGGAAAATAGTGAAGATGAGAATGATGATGAAAAAGAAGAAGAAAAAAGCAGCAAAAGAAATGAGATTTCAAAGGTATATTTATACTAACAGCTTCGGAATGATGCGATTCTTTGATTCTCATGGGCCTTTTTGCACGCATTCGGAAGAAAGTAGCATAAAAAATAACAGATAATGATGATTAAGATGAAGATGATGGAATCTATGATGATGATAATTCTTTCTTTTTTACGTAGAAAACAGGAAAAAATTCTTTTTCTTTGCTCTCTTTTATTTTCGCATATCTATCTCTATCTCTCTCTCTCGCTCTTTTAAAGGTCAGTATTGAACCGAAATGGGGAAGAGAGAGAGAGAGAACATTTAAAAATGGCCAGTCCTTATCATCTCTTACCTCTGACATCTATTTGATGGATATCTATGGTTGCCATGTTCTTGATGAGCTCTCATAACCCACGCATCCGATGTTTCTTGTTGTTTTGTTTATTTCTCTTTCTCGTGTATTCTAGTGATGTATTTATGTACCTTCGTGTGTTTTGTTGATACATCATCATGATAATTGTTTAGAAAGATAAGTATCATCATCACTGTGTAGGTGATTCTTAGATGGTGATGAGGAAGATGAGCAATTGAATATGTTTAACATGTTAATGACTTATAATGATTGTGATGGCAAATGATAGTTTCAATATGATTATACTGATGATGTTGATGATGATAAACAATGTTGTCACTGAATAACCTTTGATAATAGTTGTTGTTGGTGATGATGATCGTCGGCATTTTAACTAATCACATTATCATGATGATGATGTTTTTTTAACTCTGTTTTTTAACAGTAAAAACAAAAACATAAGCAAATACATGAATCTACTTTTCATGTATTTTTATATATTCCAACTGACAAAGAAGCCATTTCCTGATTGATTTGACATCCTGTTCAAAACAAGAGGATATAATGTGTTTGTGTGCATAGATAGACTCAGTATATTGGGTGTTTTTGTTGATTTGTTGCTTTTTTATTATCACCATCACATCATTGATCCTTTCCGCTGGCTCATCCCTCAAGCTCACTTGGATCCCTCTCTCTATCACTTTGGGTTTAAGCTTTAAAAACTATTGACACCTATGAAAATGTTACTTTTTTTATGAGTAACAAAAAAATAACTTTCTGCAAACATCAACCTTTTAACATTAACATATGATGTTTACAGTTACAAATTGTCTCTCTCTCTCTCTCGCCCATCACCCTGACTAATATTTGCTGATATCCGCATCATTTTTGCAAAAATATATCAAAGTTACAAGTAAAATGTTGAAATGTTTCAAATGGAAAGTTGAAAATGCAATCGTTGCATTTGTTTTTCTTATTATTACTGTTGATGATGATGATGATTCGGATGATTAGCATGATGATGTTAACTTTTCCCTGTTGACTTTGAATGTTTCAGTTTGTTGGTCGGTAATTAGTGTACCGCTAATCAAAATTGAACTTTTCATGTATCGAGGAAAAGAAAACTATTCAATGATTGAGTGATTGAGATTGAGGATAATGATGAGCTTGATGATCTTGATGATGGGTGAGTCAGAATCTTGATCAGACACAATCAATGAAAACAGGGTTGGGTTTTTTTTTATTCATTGACCATCTTACATTTGCGATGCTAATGATATGATAATCATGTTAATCTGTTGATTTATCTTAATCCTTCTTTGATTAAAAATTCTTGTTTACTGTGTGAGTTTTTTTCCTCTACTTTTTTGCTGATTACCTTGTTTACTTTCATCTTCCTTGATGATATCTTTCTCCCTTTAATTTGCTCCCTCTTTCTCTCTCTCTCTCTCTCTCTTACCTTTTCTACCTCATCAATGTTTCCTTTTCTCGAATGTCAATCAGTTTCTACTATTAGTTAATGATCTTAAGATGTTTATTTAGATGAGGGAACCTCATCATCTCTTGATGATGATCATCAATGTGAACTAATTGGTTAGTCATTCTCTTCATCATCTACATCATTATCATCTTCCACTGTCACTTGAAATTCTCAAAATTACTAAAATTTCCTCACTCTCCCCTGGAACTGGGTGGTCTCCCTTTCTCTCTCTCTTCTATCAGAAAGTCATCTTCATTATCTTCATCATCATTATCACCAAATAAAATACATTGAAACGTATTGAATTCACCTTAGTCAAGAAAATGAGAAAGTTCTTGTTTCCAACCTTAACTTATCATCCATGAACTTTATTTTCTCTCATATTTTATTTCAATTTCTTATGCATGAATCAGTTTCCCTTGGCTTATCATCATCATCATCATCCATCAGTAATACGAGAGAGTTGCAGATTTTTTATTTATCATCTTATCCTTTTGTTATCAATTGAATGTGAATTTATATCTTGACTGAATTGAATTAAATTGAGATTATTCATCCCTCCCTTTTATCACTATTATCAACAACATCGTCAAGACTTCATCTTGATTCTCGGTGTGTCTCTCACTCTCTTCATCATCTTCCCGGGATCATATTATCATTTTCTCTCTCTCTTCTTGAATTAACTTTTGATTATCTGATAATAGTGATGATGATGATCTTGAGGAAGAAAAAACTTGCTTCTGTTGCAAAAGGTTAGTTAGTTGATTGTATGTGTTTTTTTCTCTCTCTCTCAATATACAATCAGTTTCTCTTCCTCATCATCTTTCCTTTTCTCACATTTTCTCACTTTCATCTTTTTCCATCATCTTCATACATAATTATTTGGTTCTTTCGTTGACCTGATAGCTTTTTTCATCTTCATTTTTCTCTCATATCATGAAACCTTCTCCATAGTTTCTGTGTAAAAAAAGATGAAGAGAGGAAGAAGAAGAAGAAGAAGAAGAAGAGTAGAAGGCGGTGGAGGAGGAAAAATCTCTCATGAATTGAAGTTGATTTCACTATTTTTCTTTCCTATCATCAACATCATCATCTTCAGGTAGCTGATGATGATGATGATATGAAACCTTAGTAAATAGCTTTGTATTTTTATCATCATTTCATTGCTTCCTTTTTTTTACTTTGCTTTTTGATTATCATCTTAAAAACTTCATTATTCTGTAGCTCTCTTTTCATAAAGACTAGTCAAAATTCAATCTTGAATTTCAAAGATGATCTTGTTTATCATCACCATCATCATCATTTTCCCTCTTCATATATGTATTAACTTTTCCTTTTGTCATTATTATCATCTTGTTCATCTTTCATATCATTAGCAAGAAAGAGTGAGAGTCTTCATCTAAACTTGATCGTCCATTTTTCTTTTCTCTCTCTCTCTCCCTATCTTATCATTATTCTCAAACTTTGAAAGGAAACTTTTCTTCCCTAAAAGAAATTGATGAAACTTAAATAAAAGTTCACTGAATGAAATGAATTGAATTTTGAGAGAATATTTAAAATGCTTCATCTCCCTCATGTTCATCATCTATCAAATTAAGATTTTCAAAGTCTCTCAGCTGTTCCTCTTATCTTCATCATCATCATCATCCCTCGAGTCTTTGTTTTATTGTCTTCTCTTTTAATATTGAATAAGATAATCGATTCGTTGTATTTGTGTCCAATCTTTAAGTAGCTAAAACTTTTACTTTAACCCTTAATGGATAAAGTTTTCAATCCAATTTTTGTGATTCTCTCTCACTTTTATATATATAAAGTGGCAAGGAAATTGCCTCTCTCCATCTCTCTCTTACTCTCTCGATTGCCACTCAATGGTCAAACATTTCGTCCATCTAACAAACCGTATTCTGTGTGTAATACGTTTTTCATGATATTATTATCATTTTATTATATTTGATGATGCTTATTACACATTTGGAATCACTTTTGAAAGAGTAATAGAAAAAAAAAATCTAAAACTGTTTCAAATTGTTTGACCATTGGTCAGACATATTCAATTTTCTTATTTTCTTTCCTTGGGTAAACAAAACTTTCCACTTTTGTTGTCCATGTTTGTCCAGTTCTCTGACCATTACCTACTGACCAACATGATTCTCTATATTAAATAATAATGACGATGATGAGATAAAACTAGTAATCGTTTTACCGCTTCATTTATTGCGTTAATTGACTTTGAATGGTTTTTTTTCTGATTCTCAATTAATTTGATTTGCTCCCATGTTGTTTTGGTAAAAAGTTAATCCGATACGATTAGATTCTGATTCATTGATCATCATTGTCATTGTCATTGTGTCACCAGATTTAATTGACTGAAATTGATTCAGATTATTAAACATGATTATATTCATAATCCTTTCAGGTTAATACAATGATACTATGTTGATTATCATTTAATATCAATTACATTTGATTAATTATAATAATTTTTTTTTCTTCTTTTCTTTTTATTATTATAGTGACTTAATTGTGGAAAAAAATTTTGTTATTAAATTGCTTGTGATGTTAATTGTTTGGATGGAGCAAAAATGTTTTCGTTTCCGTGATGGTTTCCTTTTCTAATTTTTCCATTGATGTAAGTTGATAAATCACTCGCTAATTATGGTTAATTTTGTCGGACAATTAAAGCTAATTCATGTTTTCTCTTGTTTTGTCTTCTTTCAAAAGGTGTGGTCTTCATCTCTCTCTCTCTTGGTTTGGATATCAATTTACACTCTTCTAACTGACCCAATGCAAATGTAATGATGACCTTTTCGTTTCACTGATGAATTTGATTCTAAATTGACCATCGAAAAATTTACTGGACAATCATCGTCATCAATTGTCTTCTCACTGTGGGAAAAGAAAGGGATACTGCTAATTAATAACTTCCTTTTCCTCTCTCTCTCACACACACACACTCACTCATTTATCTTTTGTTTTCAAAAGAATTGTATTAATTGTGTAGAAATGTAATTAGACAAATAAAGAAAAAAAAAGTTTACTATTTTTTCAATAAGAAAAAAAACAAAAATAATAAACGATGCAGATAATTGATTGATTGGGATTAAACAAACACAACAATTAACAATCTCAAGGATACTTGAAAATCATTTTAATCATTTAATTGTGATTTAATATCTCCTTTCAATTAGTTATAGTTTCAATGTTCATTTTGTTTAATCTTAATCATGGTAGATGATCGTAGATCCAGATCTTTTAAAGCCTCAGCGGATGCTATTGAACAAGCTCGGAAAACTCTTGAAACGACAAGTGACCTCGTGAAAAAGGTCAGTAAAACAAAGCCGAAAAAAGTGTCTTCTCAAGCCAAAGCAACAGGTGAGGTCACTGTTGATATAGAGAAAAAAATCCGAACTAAATTACTCAAACGGAAATGAACAAAATTCGTAAACAATTGGAACTATTATCGTTTTCATCGGCTTTTATATTTTATTTGTTTATCTTTGAAGTTCCTGTCCCAATCTTGATAATTGTTCAATAAACTGATCAGCATTCACTAAATCTGTACATCCATAAATCACTCGTTTTGGATTTGGTTTTCCGGTTTTACTCTGCTATGAAAGGATAGAGAGAGAGAGTGATTATTAAATGTTAATTAAGAAACAATTAACTCATGGATAAATATATAAATCTTATAGATACACCATGGGAATTAGTTGGTTAAATAAATAAACAATTGAGAGAAATCAAATGATTAACTAAATTTAGTTGTGCTACTCACTTTACAATATTCAACTAAGTTTTGATATTCAATATAATTACCACCTCCAACGACAAATACAATTGCCTAAAGAAAAAGAAAAATTAAATTAGATGGAGAATATTAATTGTGGTAAGAAAATTTGAGGATTTTCTCTTACATCTTGAAAAGAAGTTCTTGTTTCTGGTATTCGATTATCTGAAACTTTTGACAATTTAGGATCAAAATAACGGTAATCTTCAATTTCTTGTAAATTTTTCATCTCCATCAACGCGGAGACAATTCTGGTTATTGGGAGAGTTTGTTTTTTTAGAACCAAATTTTTTACTCCTTCCATTACAAATTGAGATCCTTGGGTCATTAATTTGGAAAACATGTTGACCGTTTTAGTTCCCCCTCCATATTGGACATTGGCCAGTGTTGGCATTCGTGAAAATGTTTTCCATCGGCGTAGATAACGGAAAGCATTTAAATCACAATTAGCTTCTTCTAATGCTTTCTCGTATTGATTAATCTCATCATCGGATAGTGAAGAGCAGAGGAAGTTAATTAAACAGAGACGAACTTTATCACTTTCAGATCCCGTTTCAGCGTCTTTGATAATTTCCAATGGTGTTTTATCCAAAATTGATTTGGATAAAATTTTCTCTTCCAATTCAAAAAAATTATCCAATTTACGCTTTTTAATCTGATCTAGAATGGAAGTGGCAATTGTCGTATGCATATCGATGAGTGACTTTTTCTTTAACAATTCGGGTAACGATTGTACCGCCGATGTTAATTTGGCCGTATTGTTGGAAAGTAGGTCCATAGAATTTTCTGAGTCCATGTTATTTCTAAGGCGTTTAACTTCCTCTTCGGAATTTTTATAAGCTTCTAATTCTTCTTGAACAGATTTGGCGACTTGTGGAAAGGGTGTAATCTTGTGTCTCTGCCAAAATTCATCGTCAGAATTAAGGTCAAATGTTTGCGTTTTTTTCCTTGAACTTGATACTGCCACTGATTCATCAGATGATTCGGTAATGGTCACTCGATTCAACTTGAACGATAAAACATCGTGGATTAAGGCTTGATAGGTCCAAGTATGATGTAAAGGTGTTGCCATGTCCATGTTACGATCTAGAATGATTAATAAAGGTCGCTGAAATGTTAATGGTCGCTGTTCACTTAGATCGGTAAAACTGCTCCCCTTGAAAAGGTTATTTTTAACATCCTGGAGGTTTTCCCGTAATCGTTTGTTCAATTTTTCGGCAACCATTTCAGCAGCGTTTCCTTTAGCACATCGGATGATAGGTACAACTTCAAGTGTTGCCAAAAGAGCAAATAGACCGTCGCATATTTTGGTCATCACTTCTTCCATTTCCGTTTCTTGGACATCGGCCCGATTAATAGCTAAAAAAAGGGAAATAAACAGAGAAAAACAAACATTAATTAGTCAAATTCTAAGACAATAGATCAGCAGAGGAACAGATAGAGGCAAAGATGAATAATAGAAATCATTAGCTAATGAATTGAGTGTTGGAAAAAAAGTGTTGATGTGACAAAAAAAAAGACATTCTGACATCAAGTTGACATTTGAAAACAGATTTAAGAGCAAATATTAATCTGTCAATAGTCTTGCTTTTTTGTCTCAATATTTTTTTATCATTTTCTCTTGTATTTCTGTGTAATTGAGATGGAAGTGTAAGTAAAAATGATGTTAAGAGGTGTGAATTAGAGACATACCATAATAAGACACTTCCTCTTTACTGTTTTGTCTTAAAATGAACATATCATCTTCTAGACTGATAAAATCAAGATATTGATCCATAACTTTTTTGATTACTTTGGTTGCATCAGCTTCCAAACAGGCAAGAGCTAAATCTTCAATCTTTTGATGAGAAATGGGTGTAATAAAGTTGAGGTAATAATGATCGTATAAATGATTCCTTAGATCGGAACAGATTCTGATAATATTTTCATCACTTGGAACAACAAAATAAACAGCCGCAGCATCGGGAATACTATCTCGTTCAGAATGAAGAAATAAATGAAGAACCACACCGATATCTCTCAATTCCTTATTATTCAATAAAGGTGCAATTACATCCTGACAACGACGATCATAGACCAAAACCCTCCAAATGGGTTCACCTCGACTCTTCAAATCTTTATTATTTAGATTTAGCATAACCTTTAAGGTTCCTATTAAACAAAAAAAAAGAGAGAAAAATAAATGGAAAAATGAATCATTAGAAAAAGAGAATAGAATAATCAAAAAAGAAAAGAATAAAAAAAATTCTTTTCTCTTCTGATTCTCTTTACTTACGCTTCTGTTCACTTGCAATGGATACAGTCGACATGTTGACAATTAACTAAATTGTTACAACAACCAGAATATAAAACAACAATTAACCGGCTAAACAAAAAACCCAATTCCACAGAGACAGAGAAAGAGAGAGTTACAATTATAATTTTCTACTAATATTATGTGTCTTTATTTAGAGATTGGAAAATTTTTCTCTTTACTTATAAAACCAAAAACACTTTGGAATTGATTTTAAATCATTAAGGTAAACGGTAGAGTTGATGCTTAATTAAAACATGATGGGAAAGAAAAAATGACCACAATTAGAGAAGAATTAAATTAAATTGATTGTGAGAAATTCAAAACAATTAAAATAGAAACGAGAAGTTGTCAACACGACACAAAATCTAAATTTCTATACGATCCCGATCATATGTTCTTGAGGGAAAATCACATAATAACGATCAGTTGCAGTTCGGATTCTGGTTACTCAAGATCAGAATTTTTTTTCATTCTGGTTAATTGTTATTTTTTCAATTCTTTTTTTAATTATCTCTTTGTCTTTTTGTTTTATTCTCTCCAATTACAGTTGATTAATTATTTCATCTTTTTCTCTGTCATCGGAATTGGTTGGTGGTTTTCTATTCTCTTGATTATTTCCTGTGTAATTCTTTCCAATCCCAATTTGTTATCTTCTTTTCTCATTTCATTTCATTTCATTTCATTCTTTTCTTTTCTTTTCTTCTTCTCCCCTGGTTTTTTTTTCTATTCTCATCTTATCCTTTACCTGTTGAAGTGTTAATCAAATTAATTGTAATAATCTCTTTGGTTTATTATCATTGTTCGCTTTTATCTCTTGTTAATTATTGGTTTTATAATTAATAAGCTTCTATGGGCCACTTGTAAGTAAGTAGAATTTTTGTCTTTTCTTTTTTTAGAATTTATGTGAATTCTAATTTTTTCGGTTCCATTTTTGTTTCTTCGTTTTCTTCTCTATTTTAAACACTTGGTTCTTTTTCTTTATTTGCCTCATGTCATTGAACTGAACCTTTTAATGTATATATTTATATGCATTTGAGCTTTTCATTTCTTTTTCTTTCTCTTCTTTTTTTCATTTTCTTTGTTCTTTTCATTTCTCAGATTGATTCCTTTTGATTTTTATTGAGCAAAAAAAGTTCACATTTGAAACTTGTCAGGATTTTCTATTTCGGGATCACATGAGATGATTTTCTGGTGTCTTTTTGCTTTATTTCAATTGTTATTACTGATGGTTTGTCAATCTTTTCTCTTTTTTTTTCTCTCTCTCTCTCTCTAAAAGTCACAAAAATTCTATCAAAGGGATTTTACATAAAAATTGTAAATATTCTTCTCTTTAAAATTCTTCTTGGGTGTAAAATTCTATTTTCTAACAATCTTTCAAAACTTGTAGCCTCAAATCTAATTCTCATTATTATTTGTTAAAGTCCAAAGATTGAGAATTTAAAATTGTTTATTAAACATTGACAAACATTAAACAAAGAGAGAGAGAGAGAGATTAGAAAATTTTAAATGACTAGGAATAAAAACAATTCTACTTGTTAGAACTTAGAATTTCAATTGTTCAATCACAAAAGCATAAATTGTCAATGTAATCAATTTCCTCCATTTTGATTGACTATAAACAATTAAATCCAGAGAATAGAAGAAGAAAAAATTTAAAAGAAAACAAGTTGAGCGCTACAACCAGAGGTCACTGCGAATCCAAACCGTCTTTCCCTTTCTTTTTCTCTGTCTAAGCTCACATTATGTAATCTCTTTCTTTGTGTGTTCACTCTCTCATTTTTTTCCACACTCATGGTTGATAATTGATTCTGTAATTAAAATTATTCTTCAGTTATAATTAGTCAATTGATTTTAGAATTAACTGTTTAATTGTGTCAATCCTTTGAGATCTTTCACCAATTGTATCTATTCATTTTCTTTCTCTTCTTTCCATACTTCCATTTATCTCTCTATCCTTTTCTTCAACTCTCTCTTTCTCTTTTTTCTCTCTCTCTTTCTGATACCTTAATTTTTTTCTCTTCCAATCCTTTTCTTTAATTTTTTTCTCTCTCTCAACAAATATTTTACAACATTGTTTCCAACTAAATTTTACAGATCTGGTTTCAGATGTCAAGTGAAAGCTCTGCAGTTGAAATAGGAAGTGAAGCTCAACCAAGTCCTTTGAAAAAGAAAATCAAGACTGCCCATAATCCGTCTGAAGTAGATTCTCAGGAGAAAAATAATAAACCTATTTCTGATTCCAACAATTCAACGCCGACACGAACCATGGTTACTAACGGTTCTTCGGCTGCCAAGAATGGTGGTGATATCGATGAAAGCCTTTACTCGAGGCAACTTTATGTTCTTGGACATGAAGCTATGAGAAAAATGGCTTATTCTGATGTATTGATCTCTGGTATGAATGGTCTTGGCGTTGAAGCAGCTAAGAATATTATTCTAGCTGGTGTCAAGTCTGTTACTATTCATGATGATCAACTTTGCTCAATTGCTGATCTTTCAAGCCAGGTAAGTGACGTGATAGCCATTTCCGTTTAGTAAACAATTTTCTTTCAATTTTATTATTAAAAAGAAAATGGAATCAACCAGAAAAAGAATGGGTTAGAATACCCATTTTCTTGGGTAGTCTATCAACTTTTATCTTTCTCTCTCATTCTCTATCTATCTCTCTCTTTTTTTCTAACTCTGTTACCATGTTTTCTGAGTTTCCTTTTCTCTCAAAATGAATAGAGTAAATTATTTGCTTGATTAATCTTTAATTTTAACTCTTTTTCTCTCACTTATTAATAGTTCTACTTGACGGAAGCTGACGTTGGAAAAAACCGAGCGGAAGCTTGTGTTGGCCGACTTGCCGAGCTCAATAATTATGTCCCAGTATCTGCATACACTAATAAATTGGAACCAGAATTTTTGAAGCAATTTAAAGTGATTGTATTGACAGAATCCTCATTAAAAGAGCAAAAAGCCATCGCTGACTTTACTCATTCTAACAATATTCCGATCATTATTGCCTCAGCGAAAGGATTATTTGGGTAGGTGGTTTTATTTAAATCTTTTCTCTTTTTTTCCCCTTATAAATGTCTTAATTTTCTACCAGGTCATCAATCTTATGAAAATAATAATCTTTTCAAATTTCATCATCCTACTTATCTTTCATCTAGACAAATATTCTGTGATTTTGGTGAGACCTTTGAAGTTGTCGATGTTAATGGTCTTGAGCCGGTCTCTGTTATGATCGCAGGAATCACCAATGATGAGGAAGGTGTTGTCACTTGTTTAGATGAATCAAGACACGATTTGCAAGATGGTGATACAATCATTTTCTCTGAAGTTCAAGGTATGACAGAATTAAATGGAACAACTCGTAAAGTCAAAGTACTCGGAAGTTACACCTTTAGCATTGGTGACACTCGAAATTTGAGTCAATATGTTAGAGGAGGTGTTGCTACCCAAGTAAAAATTCCCACTACCTTCAATTTTGTAAGTATCTAAAAATATCAATAACCTTTTTCTATATTGGAAAAAAAGAGAGAAAGTTCTAGTCTCTTGTTGACTTATTCTTATTTTATTTGATTGACATTCTCTTTTCTTTTTGTTTTCCAGAAATCTTTCAGAGAATCTCGGAAAAAGCCTGAATGTCTTATTTCAGATTTTGCCAAGATGGAACGTCCCCAAATGTTACATGTAGCCTTCCAAGTTTTAGATAAATTTGTCCGGTTAAATGGACGTTATCCCTCTTCTTGGAATAAAACTGATGCCGATTCTTTGGTTGAACTTGCTCGTAAATTTATAACCAAACACAATCTTGAAATGGATGTTGATGTTGACCTTGTCTCAAAGTTTAGTTACCTCGCCAAAGGAAATGTTGGTCCAGTTTCTTGCTTTTTAGGTGGTTTTGTTGCTCAAGAAGTAATGAAAGCATGTAGTGGAAAATTTACTCCACTCCAACAATGGTATTATTTTGATGCCTTGGAATGTTTACCTGTTGATGGTGTTGAAGAGAAAGACGCTCAACCCTTAAATTGTCGGTATGATGGTCAAATTGCTGTTTTTGGACAAAAATTCCAAGAGCATTTAGGAAATTTACGTTACTTTATTGTTGGTTCAGGTGCTATTGGTTGTGAATATTTGAAAAATTTCGCAATGATGGGTATCGCATGTGGTAAAGAGGGTAAACTATTTGTCACTGACATGGATATAATTGAAAAATCTAACCTTAATCGTCAATTCCTTTTCCGACCTCATGATGTTGGCTCAATGAAATCAGAGGTTGCAGCTAAAGCAGTTAAAGTAATGAACCCTCAGATCAACATTTTACCTCATCAAAATCGTGTTTGCCCTGAAACCGAAAAGGTTTACAGTGACGAGTTTTATGAAAATTTAGATGGAGTTCTAAATGCTTTAGACAACGTTGAAGCTCGTATTTACATGGATCGAAGGTGTGTCTATTATCGTAAGCCACTTATCGACGCTGGAACCCTAGGAACCGCTGGTAATGTACAAGTTGTCATACCCTTCATGACGGAAGCTTACTCATCCTCGCAAGATCCTGCTGAAAAGTCAATACCAATTTGTACTCTTAAAAATTTCCCCAATGCTATTGAACACACACTTCAATGGGCCCGTGATGAGTTTGAAGGACTTTTCAAACAAGATGCTGAAAATGCGAAACAATATCTCACGTAAGTTTCTCACATGAAAACTGTGTATCAGTCAATCTTGAAGTTTTTTTTGCTTCTTCTCGATTTAGTTGACAAAATTTACAATAATTGGCAAGTTTTTATTTCTTCATAGAGAATGAAACAAATCAGATTGACTTTTATTTTCCTTTTTATTTTATTTTTTGTTTCTTCTCTTTGTGAATCGAAAATATTTTCTTTAGAGTAAACAGGTTAACCATTAATATTCTTCTCATGATTTCTATTGTAGATTTTTACTCTTTTTTCTTTGTTCTGCATAAAACTATTTTCTTCTCTTCAATCAATCTCTTGGTTGATCATCAGAAAATGGATTAATCTTTTATAGATTTAACCTTTTAACTTGCTTGATTTTCTCACTCTCTCATCCTGTCAAAGATTTTTCGTTACCTCGAGCCTTATTTTTATCATTTCTTGGATATTTTTCCTTTCAGCTAAACTATTATCACATCAATCATCAAAAGCTATCATCCAATTTTAACTTATATCTCTTGATCTTCACACCTTTCATTCACTTTTACTTTGGCATTTTAATTTACTTTAATTGTATTTCTCTTTTTTCTCTTTCTCTCTCTTTAGTGATTCTAAATTTTTTGATAAACCAGGTAAAACAATGGATGTTATTGAATCAATTAAACGCGTGTTGATTGAAGAGAGACCTCGATCCTTTGAAGACTGTGTTGCTTGGGCACGTCATCATTTTGAACAAAATTTTGTCAATCAAATTAAACAACTATTATTCAACTTCCCTCCTGACCAATCAACAAGTTCCGGTGCACCATTTTGGTCTGGTCCTAAACGATGTCCCCATCCTCTCAAATTTGACCCAAACAATGAGACTCATATCGATTATGTTGCTGCTGCAAATCTTAGAGCATATATGTATAATCTGCCTCAAACACGAAATCGATCTCGAATCATTGAGATTGTCAAGCAAATCCATGTACCTGAATTTGTTCCCAGATCTGGTGTTAAAATTGCTGTTACCGATGCTGAAGCTCAAAATGATAATGGCCCGTTAGACAAAGATAGATTAAATCAAATACAAAGAGATCTTCCCGGTCCAACTGACCTAAGTGGTGTCAAAATTAATCCCTTAGATTTTGAAAAAGATGACGATGAAAACTTCCACATGGACTTTATTGTGGCCACATCTAACCTAAGGGCAGAAAATTATGACATTGCTCCCGCAGATCGTCATAAGAGTAAATTAATTGCCGGAAGAATTATTCCAGCCATTGCAACCACCACTGCCGTAGTTGCTGGATTAGCATGTTTAGAATTGATTAAGGTAATTATTAGTTGCTTATTTTAATCAAGTCTCATTAATTTCTCTGATTTTCACAACTAATCCTAATTTTATCATGTTTTCTTTACATTTTACAGTTGAAACAAGGCCATGAAAAGCTTGACTTTTATAAAAATGGTTTCATTAATTTGGCTCAACCCTTTACCGGTTTCTCTGAGCCTGTACCGGTTCAAAAGCAAAAGTATTACGATACTGAATTTAGTCTTTGGGATCGATTTGAGGTGGAAGGAGAAATGACCCTCAAAGAGTTCTTAGATTATTTCAAGGTAAATTTGGTTATAACGAAAAGAGTATTTGATAATTTTTCTAATTTTAATCTATTCTAATTTTCAGAATAAGCATAAGTTGGAGATAACTATGTTGTCGCAAGGAGTCTGTATGCTTTATTCATTCTTTATGACGGCAGCAAAGAGAGAAGAGCGACTTGCTATGAAGTGAGTAATTCAAGTAGTAATTTAAATTGTATTGCAAATTCTAACATATTTTCACTTTTTTCTTTTCCTCATATTACAGTTTGGTTGAAGTTGTTAAAAAAGTTTCAAAGAAGAAGATCGAGTCCCATGTAAAAGCCTTAGTATTTGAAATTTGCTGTAATGATGAATCTGGAGAAGATGTTGAAGTTCCCTATGTTCGTTATCGTTTACCACCCAATTCAACATCTTAATGAAAAGGAAACAAAAAGAGGGAGTAAAGGTTGATTTAAATAAACCTATTTAACACCTTCTTGGGAAAGTTAATCAACTGCACCACAACAAACACAACAAGTCTATAAACAAATCAATTAAATTACAAAAAAAATTTTCCACTTTTATTCAACAAAACAAGTTACAACAAAAGCTTTCTATGTATAAGTAAAACAAAGGTAAATCAATCAATTAATTAAACAAAAATCAAGGTAAATTTATTACTAACCATTAACACAATTGTGTTGATAATAATAACCATTTAAACAACCGGATATATGGCATTAAAAGCGATACCACAGGTATTTTTACCTCGGGCTATGCGACCATAACCATTTTCACCCCAAGTAGGTCCCCAACTGTTTTTGATCAACCACCAGTCTTGACCACCGGACGAGCCAAATCCAATTATAGCAATTGCATGATTAAGATCCTCTTCATTATTGGAACAAGTAGGATCATCAAAAATGCCTCCGCTTGAAAAAAAAAGAATCAATAGTTGATTAAGTTAGTAGAAAAATCAACGAGTGCTAATCAATATAATGACGATTTACCTGTACAATTGGAATCCTTGTGTTACCTGTATAGCAGCTGAGACAACATGGTTTGTGGCAGCATCGAGTAAATCATCTTCCGCCTTGGGCAAAATTGAACGATAGCTCTGAATTGCTGCTCCAACAGTTGACGAATTGAAACGACATTCTCCTATGGTATCGCCTTCGTATGGATAAGATGATTCCGTGTCGACTCCACCATTGTCCAGAACAAATTGGAAAGCAAGATCTAAACGACCACCTTTACAACCATAATTTTTTTTCGAACAATCAATTAAATTTTGTTCACTCAATTCCTCAACTGAACGATTCCTGGCAATTGCTGTTGAACTTTCTATGGCCGCAATCACTGAAAATGCCCAACATGATCCACAAAGCCCTTGATTTTTCACCCTTGCGACAAAACCACTGTCTCTCCAATCAAGTGATTGAAGTGATTCATTTGATTGTGGTCGATTAATTGCTCCATTGATTGACGATTTTCTCTTGTTGTTGTTGTAATGATACAATTGTCTCACATTCCCTGTTGTTGGCTTATAATTCAACATTCTTCGAGCGAAATCTGAAAATTCCTGTTGATAATATTTAGAAAATTGTGAATTAATTATTAATCATTGTTGATTAACGATCACTTACCATATCAGAGTAACGATTAGTTCCAAGTCGGTAGGTTTCATATCCTTTATCAGCTCGAATATTGTGATGATAAATTCGTCCCAAGTTTGAAAAAAATGAAATTCGGTGATAATTTTCTTTCCTCGGTTCATGATAACTTAAATTGTGTATCATCTGTAACAATTAAAAGATTAATCGGACAATTAGAATACATTAACTAGTTAGTTAATCCAATACTCACCTTGTGTCTATCCCAATCACCGGGATTAAATTTGAATTTTCGGTGTCCATTCACAATTAAGATGACAAAATTGAAGCAGATAAACAATTCAATCAGTTTCATCTTGTTTTCACAATTAAAAATCTTAAGGTAAATGTTAATTGTTGATTAAACTGTTAGTAAAACAATTGGTTCTGTTTTGATAATCAATTGTTTCGTTGGTTAATAACAAGTTAGAAGGATGATTTTAATTATCTACTGATTAGTTGGAACAATCAAATTCTAATGACTATTAATTGTTGATTTAATCGGCTTTTATCTCATTTTAATCGCGAATTATGAAAAATTATTGATAACTATTGGTGAATTAATTGATTATTAACAAAGTGTAATGATTTAAATGTATGTTTATTTTTAAATTTAATTTAGAATAACAATTAATTTTAACATATTTAATTTACAGTTCGGTAAGAAAAAATCTCAATATTTAGACGCTTAATTGTGATTAGATTAACAATTAATTTTAGAAAGTTTTTAGATCAATTATTAGTCATAATCATAACTAATCAGAATTTTAATAGACTTTTGATTAAACTTATTCGATGATTAATTGCTAAGCTGATCACAATTAAGTGTCAGAAACATCGAAACGATGTTCGCAATTAACTGTAATGTAACTTTTAATTGTTAACAATTTAGACCAATGGATAAGAAGCTGAATTAGCAACACCACAGAGATTTTTACCTAAAGCATATTGAGCGTAACCATTTTCGCCCCAACTGGTTCCCCATGAGTTTCTCAAGATCCAATGGTCAGTTCCGTATCCGACCAGAGCGACTGCATGATTAAGAGTAATTGTCCAGCAGAAAGGCATGTCGAATATACCAGATCTGAAAAATGGAATAAATTGTTACAATTAACAAGTGAACTTGAATTGATAGGAACAAGTAACTTACTTGTAGTGTTGGAAATCATCGCCAACATGAATGGCGACGGAAACAACTCGTTCAGCGACAGCGTTTTTCAAGGCGTTTTCATCTCGATTTGGGATATCGACGTATTTTGATATGGAGGCACCGACATTGTCCTTTGACCATTTGCAGTCCTTACTTGAAGTGGCGGTGTAAGGGTAAGAGTCTTCAGTGTCCAGACCACCCGATTTGATTGCATATCCGAATGCATTGTCAACTAGACCTCCACTACAACCTTTGTTGCCCTGAGGGTATGAACAGTCCATCATGTTTTGTTCAGAAAGAGAGACAAGTTGGTTTTTAGATTGAGCCCAAGCACTTTCAATGGAGGCGATGGTGGAAAATGCCCAACACGATCCACATTGAGCTTGATCTTTAATCGGGTTAACGATATTCTTTTCACGCCAATCGACAGTTTCGGGAAGATCAGAAACTGAGTTTCGATTGTGGATCAATGGAGCTGGGGCTCGATTAATTGACATATTTAAGCCAAGATATTGGTGAGAAAATTCATCGAAAGTCTAAACGAATCATGATGATAAGTGAGTTGATTATTCTTGTTACCGTGAAACAATTAACTGATTCTTACCATGTCGGTGAAAGCATTGATTCCCATTGAATAAGTTTCCAAACCTTTGGCGTGTCGGTCATTGTGTTCATTGATTTTCTTTAAATTCTTAGCGAAAACTTGGTATCGATAAGATTCTTCCTTGGGATGAGCATAGTTCTTGTTGTGTTTTGCCTAGAAAGTTAATTCATTATAATTAATAGAAAACAATTAGTGTTAATTGTTGAAAAAAAACAGGAATCAGATTGTTTACTTACTTTGAATGAGGCAAATTCTGATTGAAAATTTGCAGCACAAGCGACGAAAGTCAAAGTAGCAGCGATTAAAACAAATCGAAACATTTTCTTTTCTAATTGATGAGTTGTCTTTAATCAACGAGCAATTAATTAATCAATATCCTTTTTTGATCTGAGTTTATATGGATTTTAATGCCACTCCTGTTATGTTTCTATCTTCCTCATTGTTCAGTTAATTCCAATTCCATTAACTGATAAAACCTACCAACGATATCAAACAAACTTATTGTACTCAATCAACTTATCAATAGAAAAAATTAAAATGAATAATTTTGAGTAATTGATTGATATCAATTTGATAGAATCTGATCAACTTTCAAATTCTCAGTGACGAAATTGACATTTTGACATTTAAGACTTTTCGACGGTTTTGTGAAAAATTAACTATTTTATACGTGAATGAAACAATCGATTTATTTTACAAAATTTCATTGAATTAACTCATTTCTAGTTGGTCATTTAACCTAAATTTGTGCCTATCAGCTGATTTCGGTGATAAATTCAGCTTATATCCTGAAAATCGAAATGAAAAATATAATAAATTTGATGATTAAAAAACCGAAAATCGATACACGGTTTATTAATATTAATACTTTAAATTCATCGATGAATTTTATGGATTAAGAGTGATAATCAAACTCTTACCTGTTGTAATTATGAATTGACAAGCGGGAAAAAACTTTCTTACGAAAGTTTTTTAAGGTTGTTTGCCAGACCCGTGGTTTGTTGAAATGGGAATCGTTTTTCAATCGAAAAATTCAAAACTAAATTTTTTTTTCTTTCTCACTACTCTTTTTTTCTTTCGCGTCTCTTTCTCTCTCGTCTTTTTCTCTTTCTCTCTTGCTTTTTCTCTTTCTTTCTCGTCTCTCTTTCTTTCTCGTCTCTCTTTCTTTCTCGTCTCTCTTTCTCTCTCGTCTCTTTCTCTTTCTTTTTGAAATGCGCGCTGTTTAGAAGCGCAACTGCGCATGCGTACAATAAAATCTTTGAGTCAGAATTTCTCATGAACGGCTACTCAGATTTTTTTCGTACTATTTTTCGCTACTGTAGTATTTTCCGCTCTATTTTTTGGTACCTTAACATTGCATAGAATCCTTTTATCTTGAGCACAATCTTTACCCAAAATTTGAGCTTATCTTATTCAAGTTTGTAGAAGATTAAGGGAAATGAGTTGAATCAATTTTCTTAAAAATTTAATTGCTTAGTTTATTGAAAAGAAAATGTTTAAATCACTAATCAATATTAACGATTAAGACAATTCAATGAAGAATTAGACAATTGGATAAGCTGCAGAAGTTGCGATACCACAGAGATTTTTGCCTACGGCGAATCGTACATAACCCTCTTCACCCCAAGTGGTTCCCCATGAGTTTCGGACAATCCAGTGGTCAGTTCCATAGCCAACAACAGCAACCGCGTGATTTAACATGAATGAATATCCAGGGCACCAACGGTCATCATAGATACCAGATCTTTATAAATGGGAAAGAGTTAAAGTTCAACAATTAAAAAACCAATCGAAGCCTTTAAATCAACCAGAAACTTACTTGTAGTGTTGGAATGAGTCGCCGACATGAATGGCAACGGAAACAACTCGTTGAGCAACAGCGTTTTTCAAGGCATCTTCATCGCGAGATTTAATATCAACATAACTGGAAATTGTCGCACCAACATTGTCCTTTGAAAATTTACAATCTTTGCTCGAAGCAGCGGTGTAAGGGTAAGAGTCTTCAGTGTCCAAACCACCAGATTTGATTGCATAGTTGAATGAACTATCAACTAAACCACCGTTACAACCTTGGTTACCTTGGGTGTAAGAACAGTCCATTAAGTTTTGTTCAGAAAGGGAAACAAGAGCTCCTTTAGCTTGAGCCCAAGCTCCTTCCATGGAAGCGGCGGTGGAAAATGCCCAACATGATCCACATTGAGCTTGGTCTTTGATTGGGTTAACGATATTCTTTTCTCGCCAATCAACAGTTTCGGGAAGATCAGAAACTGAGTTTCGGTTATGGATAAATGGAGCTGGAGTTCGACCGAGTGTCATATTCAAACCAAGATAATGACGAGAAAATTCATCGAAAGTCTAAAAGAATCATGATGATTAGTGAGTTGATTATTCTTGCTACCGTAAAACAATTAACTGATTATTACCATGTCGGTGAAAGCATTGATTCCCATTGAATAAGTTTCCAAACCTTTGGCGTGTCGATCATTGTGTTCATTGATTTTCTTTAAATTCTTAGCGAAAACTTGGTATCGATAAGATTCTTCCTTGGGATGAGCATAGTTCTTGTTGTGTTTTGCCTAGAAAGTTAATTCATTATAATTAATAGAAAACAATTAGTGTTACTGGTTGAAAAAAGGGGAATCAGAATCACAAGAATTACTTACCTTGAATGAGGCAAATTCTGATTGAAAATTTGCAGCACAAGCGACGAAAGTCAAAGTAGCAGCGATTAAAACAAATCGAAACATTTTCTTTTCTAATTGATGAGTTGTCTTTAATCAACGAGCAATTAATTAATCAAAAGATTCCAATTGAGTTTATATTCACTTTTTAATCAGTTCCATCTCAACATCATTGTTATAATCAATTACTCATGTCCAACTCATTCAGTACCCATGTCATTGATTTCAACGATTGATTAAACACTCGTGATACAATTGTTGATCTGAATTAGATTATTTCATTTATTGTAATCAAAAATATTTCAGATTAAATGTTATCGATTTAATCAATTATAATAACAATTAGAAATTACAATAACAAATATTTAAACGATTGGATAATAGGCCATATTGGCGACACCGCAAAAGTTTTTACCTCGAGCCATTCGTATGTAACCTTGTTCACCCCAATTGGTACCCCAACTATTTTTGATTATATAATAATCGGTACCATTGAACGAATCATAACCAACAACGGTAACACCATGATTGATATCAGTCGAGGTACAGGTAGACGAGGTAAAGATTCCCGATTCGTAGGCTACGAAATCATCCTCAGCATCAATACCAATTGAAACCGGTGTTTGTGCCACTGCAGAAACCAAAGCATCCTCATCATTTTGAGGTATTCCCACAAAACTACTGATTTTAGCGCCGACATCAGTGAAGGTAAACCAACATTTACCCTGGAGGGCTTCATAAGGATAAGAAGCCTCAGTATCAATGCCTCCCTCGTAAACAACATAGTCCAAAGCATTATCAATGAAACCACCTCGACATCCATAGTTACCATCAACGGCACAATCAAGGATCTGTTGCTCACTAAGTGAGACCAATTCACCTTTAGCCTTTGCCCAAGCACCTTCGATACCGGCGACCGAGGCGAAAGCCCAACAAGCACCACAAACACCTTGATCTTTTACAGGGGTGACCAACCCTTCCTTACGCCAATCAACTGATTTTGGTAATTCGTTTGCGGGAAAAGCGTTTAAATTATGAAGGTAAGGTGCATTTACGGTGAGACTTGATTTAGTTGCCATGTAATTATTTCGGATCTCTGAGTATTCCTGAAAGTTTGAAAAAGTTTCACAATTAATGATAATCAAATCCGCAGAATCAAATCTAAACCGAATCTAATTATCTTTCCTCATTTGTCAACCTGTTTGACTTTCATTTAACTTGTTGATTGTTTCCAACAATCAGATTAATGATAATCAATATGAAACATGATAACAATTAGATTCCAAATGATTAACCTTGAATCTTTTGGCTTCTTTTTGTGATTGTTTTCCCGTTTTCAATACTTTACCATATCAGTGAACTTGTTGACACCCTTACGATAAGTTTCAAGTCCACTTTCCGCTCGTTCGTTATGTTCAATTATCTTGATCAAATTTCGAGAAAAAATTTCTCGTCTTTTGGTTTCTTCATCAATTGACTTGTATGATTTTCCATGATTAACCTACGGGTTAAAGGTAATCAACAATTAACTAATTTTTCTTTGATTACTTATGATGATAGTTTTTAACAACTCACCTTAAATCTAGTCCATTCTGAGTCAATTTGATTCTGATCAATACTTGAAACAATTACAATTGATAATAAACTCAATAGGAAAATAGTTTTAATCATAATTAACTTATTTTCAATTAACAATCACACAGGTAAACGTTTGAACAATTAAATCACTGTAAGCTGGCTGAGTAGTTAATGCTAATTGTTTAATTTAATTCTGCTTTATTATATTGTGATTGTTATTGTTTTCTGAGTTAATTGTACTTAAAATAATGAGATGATTGATTAATTAATCAAATCTGTCTTTGATTCCGTTAATTGTTTCCCTTTTTATCCCTTTTTTCAAAGCAAAAAATTGTCCTTTTGAACCTCATTGTTTAATTATAAAATCTAAAACAATTAGTGATGAATGATTAATAAACTCAGGTAAATTTCCCATTTTTCTGGTTAATTTATGATTTAATTGTTGCCCTCAATTCAGTACAATCAGATAGGTTGACCAATGCTCGAGTCTATGGTAAATATCGTTGCCCAAATGATAACTTGCTGCGTTTTTTATTTGAAAAATCAGTTCTGATAGTCTAGTTGATTGATTTAACTGTAACAATTTACCAATGTAATTTAACAATCGGATAATAACCGGCCATTTCGATACCACATTGACCAGTTTGAATCTTTGCATATCCATTATCGCCCCAATTGGTACTCCAACTATTTCGTAAGATCCAATAATCAACCTCGGTGGTTTCTCCGTCTCGAGTTGTGTTACTTGGTGTAACGGGAATAGTGGCCTTTCCATAACCAACTAAATTAACAGCGTGATTAAGGGCTTGAGATGAGTTTCGACAGCCATTTGATGCGAAAACACCGCTCCTAATGATTTCAAATGAAATTTAAATTATCTGGTCAATTGAATTGATCTATTGTGATAATATCTTTGATACATTAAACAAAGTTGAAGTGATGGTTAAATGTTAAACTGTGACTCTCTTGCGGTCAAATGTCAACTTGTCCTCTTTCTATTTGCTAAACTCGTAGTTAATTATTATTAGCGAGTATTTGTTGAAAGCATCTGATGTAACCAATAGATCAAGTAATTCGGCTACTTCAGCAGATGAATTTGCGATGGAACGAAGTCTTAGTTCCGTAACCTGCTCAAAAACTGTTTCCACAACAAAACGTCTTCCATGAACCCCAGTCTTGATTCCAATTTGATCATTTTGTATGTAGTATGTAGTTAGTTTGTATGTTAGTAGTTGATTAATATTAGTTATAGTTTTAAGGTTAGGTTAGGTAGATAAAATCGTTTGAATTGTTCAAACCGTTTTCGATAAAAATTAAATCAAAATCAAGCCAGAGTCCAACCTTTTTTTTCTGAATAGGTTAATATCTGGTAAATCAAAATCGGTCGGTCAATCGATAGGTGGCCTCTGACAACAATTCCACGTTAATTAAAAAATTATAATTTAGATTCGTAAAATATCGTATAATTTGTAATTGTTAATTTAAAATTTGTCCTTCATTTGACTTCAATCATTTATTTTTTGAGCAAATTATTATATTAATTATACACGAAGACCTTAATATGACCTTTCAACGCCTCGTTGAGAAAATGACCTTAATGACCTTGGAAGTCGTTAGGTCAAGTTCAACAGTACTGCTCAGTCTCCTGGCCAATTTTGACATTCATGTGACCTTTAGCTTCAAAGATATACATGTATAGTAAATAGTCGTAGTGAATAAAAAACGCCTTGGATAAATGAATTTCAAACTATTTATTTCTATTTTATTTTTCTTAATTGTACTAACCTAACCTCACCAACATTTTATTCCATCTACACCAACAAGCACAACATCAACAAGGTAAAAACGGTCCACCCTCTGAATCAGCCAGCGAAAATTCAGAATTCCATAGTCCTAATAGACTATCAAACAGGGGCAGTGAGTCCTGGCACTTCTTCCAGAATCAATTTACCTTAAATTTTTCAAACGATTCTTTAACTCTAACCTAACCTAACCTAACCTAATCTACCCTAACCTAACACTAACAGTCTAGTCAGTAAGTTGATCACAATCGTGTTCCAATTAACAATGATTAGTTTAGAAGGGACAATTTTTGTTTAGATATTAATTACTCAACCTAAAAATCAGATAAATCATTTAAATCTCTTCCTTATTTTGTTTTACGTTCATTTTCATTTTCAACTTTCAATTGATTAAATTATCAATTAACACTAATATTAATCATCATTAATATTGATTAACGGTTAATTTTAATCTCCAACAATCAATCAAATCAAATTTTTTCATTACATTAAAGATTCGATAATCAAAAAATCTACATTAATTTTTAGTCAACCTAATACTTGAGAAATTTATTGTCATTTAATATTTACAACAATTACAATTTCAATTGTAATCAAATCTTGATTTTAAATCTTCCTGTGATAATTAAATTGTTACTCTAATTGTTTGAATTAATCATTCAATAGAAATGATTCATGGTCTTTAATTGTTATTTAGTTTCTTTTTATTAGTCGGAATAATAGTTATCGAAACTTTTATTAGATTTTCAATAAATTATTCAACTGTCTCTGGAATGGATTAATGATAAGAATTTGTTTATTATTATTAAATGAAGAGGATTAAGTCATAATGAGGAAGAGGAAGTGGAAACAGAGGTGGAAAATTAGTATATCTATATTATCAGTAGTTTAAAAAGTTACCTAAGTAGATAAGAAAAGAGGTAAAAGGTTGAAATTATCTTCTTCTCCTCACCTTTGCCCTTCTCATTACCTCTCTATGGAGCTTTTTAAACTACACACCCTTTAGTTCAAAGAGGTTCACCTCTTTGGTTATTCGAATTTTTGCGCATGCGCGTTTAAACGGTTTAAACGAATAAGTGAATTGTCACTTTTGTTTACATTTTCTTACAAATTTGTGCTCTTTTATTTATTATCTCATGTGATTTGTTGATTTGATTCCTTTTTTAGGAATTTTGTTCTAGTTTTTGGAAAGATTTTCAAATAACCAAGAGAATCTGTTGAGAAAAGAGAGAGAAGGTTCTTCTCGAGATGGTGAGTTTTGCGCTCTTTGAAATACGAGTAGAAAGAAATTACTAATATGAAGAAGAGAAAAAATGAAATTAGTGATCAAATCGAAAAGATGGGCTTTGCTCTTAGTGTTGGGGATGTTCTTCATTGGTAGAACGTTCACTTTGCATGTGAAAGGCCATGGGTTAGATCCCCGATATCATTTTTTAAACCTCACTGTCTTTCTCTCTCATTCTTGTTCTTCTTTCTTCATTTACAGGTTACCATCAATGACAGGGATGTCCCAATACTTATTGGCGCCGTTGCAGGTAAGATAATTCAATTTTTCTTTCTTTTGTAAAAAAATTCCAATTTCATTTCCTTTCACTGACCTTTCTTATTTTCCAGGAGCTCTCGGTTTACTGATTATCATATTGGCCGCTATATTAGCTTGGTATTGCTGTAAATATGGAATCCGTCGTCAAAAAAGTGCTTATTGTATGTACTTGACGCGTTTCCTTTCTCAGTTTTGTCCTTTGAACATCTTTTCACGTTAATTTGTCTTTTTTCTAATTATTTTTTATATTTTCTGTTTAATTTTTGACATGGTAATCTCCTGATTAGGTTTGGATGATGAGAACGAAAAATGGGCTTCATGCTCTAACCTTGGATCTGGAATTTTCGCTGACAATGATTCGGTTATTTTCACTGGCATGGAGAATCTCAATAAACAGAATGTGAAAGGACATAATATCAAGAGATCTTTATCTGCTCAACTTCATATGGTTAATGTAAGTTAATTATTCATTGGCCGATTTTGTTATGGAAGTCAATCAAGCCCAATTAACTGTTCTATCGACTATCCTATTTTCAGAATCTTCTCTATTTTCAAGATTATCTATTCAGTCGTATGTTTCTCTCTCTCTCTCTCTCTCTCTCTCTCTCTCTCTCTCTCTCTCTCTCTCTCTCTCTCTCTCTCTCTCTCTCTCTCATCTCTCTATCTATCTATCTATCTATCTATCTATCTATCTATCTATCTTTTCATGTCTCAGAAAATTTGAAAGTTCTTAGCACTATGAACCTTATTTCTTAGTGACACTTTTTTCTCATGCAAATTATCAGCCAATTTGAACTCACGTTCACATATTAATGTTTACCTTTTCATATAAGTTTTAGTCGATTAATATTTTATATAATTTATTAATATCTTGAATAATAGTTTACAGTTGGAACTCTTGATTAATTGAAAATATTATTATTATCATGTAATAATTTATGTTTCTTGACCTTTTCTTTGTCTTTCTTAACACCAGCCTAACCTAACCATGGACTCGGCAAAATCATCAATCACTGAGAAACAATATCCTCACAGTATTGAAACAATTAAGAATCACTTGAAACAATCTGATGCAATTATTTCCGCTGAAATTTGCGATGAGAAATCCAAAAACAATCAAGTTAATTGTAAAGATAAAAATAATTTAATTGCTTCTAAAAATCCAAATTATATTGATGGTGGAGTGAAAGATGAAGATGATGAAGAAGATGAATATAACAATATTGATGACAAGTTTAGATATAATAGCAAAAGTCAATTATATTCTGCAGTAATTAACAACATTAATCATGCTAATTGTAGTTATATTAGTGATATAATCAATGATGGTGCTAACCTTAAAACTCGTAGTCTTCCCTGGAAAAAAAATGCTACCGAAATTGAAGAATCAATTAAATTGCCCAACAACAATCAAACCAAGGTGACTAACCAAATTGTTAATTATCAACCCATTTCGCATGAATTTAAATTTCCTTTTTCCTTAATTTAGTTCATTCAATTTTTGGTCTTTCCATTTACTATTAATCTTCATCTAAATTGTTTATCTATTATCAATTCGCTAATTGTGTTGGTCTATTTTTGATTATCGTTTCTGCCCTTAGATTTAAAGTTTTGTTTTGTTTTTCTTTCTGTTCTCAATTGATTATCCAATCATATTTACTAATTGTTATTTCAATTTTTCAGCTTAATTTCACCAAAAAACGTGCTAATCGTATGAGGAATGACAGTGCCGCCGCTATTGCCCTTAATCTCAGTGGTGCCACAACCACACACTCAGGGTATCTCACCAAGGAGACTGATTGTTTGGTCGATAATGATTCGCTAATTGATAATGAGGCTGTTGTTGTTTACGATGAACGAACTGTCCTTTAAGCCCGTGGGTCAGAGTTTCTAAGCAATAACCATCTAAACCACCACCATTTGAAACTTATCCTAATTACCAGAATTTATTACAACACCAACGACAATACCAACAACAATCAAAAAAGTTAATAAGTAATTTTGATTCAGTAAATCAGCAAGGAAACAATCAATAATTAATCATTGCCTTGTCTACCATTGTAGTAATATTCAAACAAGAAGAGAGATTAATTTTATGATTTATAAGAAGCTGATTGTAAAATCATCAAATCAATTATTAATTAGCTCTTAATTAATTTACATTGTTTAATTGTGTTAACAAAATGAAAACCAAAGATATTAAATCAAAACAATTAACTTATTTTTAACTTCAAACCAAAGACATTGTATAAAAAACAAGAGAGAGCGAGATCGTAATTGTAATTGTAAACATTAAATTACGATGATTAAATTTCAATTGAGAGACACAATCGTGACAATGATGATTCAATTCCACCTTCATTAGCTGAATATTCAACGTCCAGTTTAGTTAATATCCCAACAAATAATGTACCCGATCAATTGGTCAAGAAACGAAAGGTCAGTTATTACAGTTGGGCAACATTAAGGTAACTTCAATTGGAAACATTTAAGATGAAATTTTAATTGTTATTATTGAAAATTATAATTACGACTATTAACTGATTTCGGTAATAAATTCAGCTAATATCATGAAAATCGATTCACGATTTACTTTGAATTCACCAATGAGTTTCATGGGTTGAATGTGATGATCAAACTATTACCTGTTGTAAATATTAATTAATTTAGGGAAATGAATAGAATCATTTTTTTAGAAATTGCTTAATTATAAAATCTAAAACAGTTAATGATAAATGATTGACAAATTTCCCATTTTTCTGTTTAATTTATGATTTAATTGTTGCCCTCAATTCAGTACAATCAGATAGGTTGACCAATGCTCGAGTCTATGGTAAATATCGTTGACCAAATGATAACTTTTTGCGTTTGTTGTTTGCAAAATGAGTTCAGATAATCTAGTTGATTGATTTGATTGTAACAATTTACCAATGTAATTTAACAATCGGATAATAACCGGCCATTTCGATACCACATTGACCAGTTTGAATCTTTGCATATCCATTATCACCCCAATTGGTACTCCAACTATTTCGTAAGATCCAATAATCAACCTCGGTGGTTTCTCCGTCTCGAGTTGTGTTACTTGGTGTAACGGGAATAGTGGCCTTTCCATAGCCAACTAAATTAACAGCGTGATTAAGGGCTTGAGATGAGTTTCGACAGCCATTTGATGCGAAAACACCGCTCCTAATGATTTCAAATGAAATTTAAATTATCTGGTCAATTGAATTGATCTCATATTATTAATACTTACTTGTAGTGCTGAAATTTATTGTCCACTTCCATAGCTACAGCGACATTGTTTTTTGCCACAGCGCTCTTCATGTTGGAAACACCGGAAACGGAAGCATAGTTGGTAACAGTAGTTACTGCTTTCGATTGGCTATATTTGCAGATTATTGAGTCACGTCCAACATAAGGATAGTCGGAAGATGTCATGATACCGCCCATTCGAGTGATGGTTCGATAAGCATCGGGCATCCAACCTCCATTACAGCCCAAATTACCCTCGAGCCATGAACAGTCCATGAGATTTTGCTCACTGAAAGTCTTATTGATTCCAGTTCCCTGTGCATAAGCTGATTCAATGGACGAAACTGTTGAAAATGACCAACAAGAACCACAAGCTCCCTGATCTTTGATTGATCCTACGATTCCGATTGATCGCCAATCAAGCAAATCGGGCAGAGATTCATTAGGATCGGCGACATGTTGAATCGGTGCATCCAATAACCATTTAGTTCGGAATCGACCACCAAGATATTTAGATGAAAACTCATTAAAAGTCTGAATTATCCACGAGAAAACAGATTATTCATCAAAAACTGAATTCGATCCAAAAATCTACTCACCAAATCACTGAACTTATTGATCCCCATGGTAAATGATTCCAATCCTTTAGCAGCTCGATCATTATGAGAATTGATTGTTCCCAAATTTTGAGCGAAAATGTTGAGCCGATATTTATCCTCTCGATCTGAGCTATATGACTTTTGGAATTCATTCTGAAAATCAACAGGAATGAAAGTTAATTATCATGGAATCGAAATCGATAATCTGATTACCTTATAAAACGACCAAAGTTTATTTATATCAATCGATTTCTCATCAAATCCATGAATCTGATTAGGAACTAAAAACAATAACAGCAAAAGAAACATGATTAATCAGATTATCAAGATTATTATTAAATTAACAAAATAATCTCAAGTTGATTGTCTCAAAAGATTAACAATCAACAATAAACAAAGTGTTTGAACAAAAAGCAACAAACTAAATGAAAATAATGGTTACGATTAAAAGTTACCAAAGTAATTTATTAATCAACCTAAGCAAATGTAAGAGTTAATTGTTGATCATTCTGATTTAATTGCTAAATATGGTAACTTTTCAGTGATTGTATTTATCCAATGGATTAGTTAAATATCCTTGCAGATGTTTACAAGGATTTAATTTGATTAACTTACAACTGATTGCAAGGATAACTGTTTAATTCATAAGGGAAATTAATTTAGTTCAATTTTGATTGAGTTCAAATGAGTAATTAATGTAAATTATGAACTGGATTTAATCAATTTGATTACATGAAGATACAAGTAAATATTATATCAAGTAAAATGATGGACACAAGTGACATGAAGACTTGAATCTCATGAAGGAGATGAACAATTAATCATTTCTTGCATGATGAATGTACCGATCAAAATTTTTCATGTGCTAGCTAATTAACTAATTACTAACTGTTGATTGGAATTAGATATTTTCTGACTGATTATCATGAGCTTTAAGTTACAAAAATCAAGTAAAACTTTCAGAACAATTGTGCTACTATGATATTAATACTTTATTGTGGATAATTTGATTGATACAAACGATAATCAAATAATGGACTGGGATTTAGACGATGGGATAAGAAGCAGCGGTCGCAATACCACAGAGATTGGAACCTCGTTGAAGTCGGAAATAACCTTTTTCACCGAAGCTTTTGCCCCATGAATGTTTGATAATCCAATAGTCTTTAGAGCCTTCGGTACCATAACCTACAACAGTAACGCCATAATTAAGCATATCATATGTAGATCCACATTCAGTATCAGAATCAATAATTCCAGAGCTGAAAAAGAAAAAAAAGAGCAACAACTCAATTGATTATCTCAATCTAAAGATGAGGTCACTTTGTGGGCCAAAACTACTTACGAATATTGTAAGAGTGGAGTGGCATCAATTGAAACGGAAACAGGTTGTTGAGCGACTGCACTTAGAAGAGCGTCTTCATCTCCGCTTGTAACATTGGCATAAGATGAGATGGTGGCACCAACTTTTTTAGCACTAAAACGGCATCTTAAACCATAACCGACATATGGATAAGCGGCCTCAGTATCGATACCGTGATTTGAGATGACATATTCATAAGCGTTGGGCATGTAACCTCCAACACAGCCTTCGTCGATATTTGTATCACAGTCAATAAGATTTTGTTCACTGAGGGAAACAAGTTTACCATTCTTAAGGAAATTAGCACCTTCGATAGCTGCGACAGTTGAAAACGCCCAAGAAGACCCACAATCACCTTGGTCTTTAACTCCAGTAACGGCTCCCTTGTCCCTCCAGTCAACGGAGGCGGGAAGCTTATTTTTGGGTACCTTTTCATGGACACTTGGTGCATAAACGGGACCAACACCCTTCAAACCCAAATGTTTAGCGACAAATTCATCGTGAGTCTAAAAATAAGTATAAATCAAGTCGTAGAGTTCATCAATTAGAAACGAATGAAGAAAAAAAAAAGTTGATCACTTACCAAATCGGCAAATTTGTTTACTCCAAGTCGATATGAGTGTTGACCATTAACAGCACGAACATTGTGAGCCTTTATTTTAGCGAAATTTTTAGCGAAGATCTTTAATCGCTGAGCTTCTTCTTTAGCATCGCCATAGACAACACCATAATCACCCTGTTATCAATGGGATTAATAATTAATAAATATTATTATTATTTTGATTTTGATTTGGAAATGATAGAAAATAAATTTACCTTAAATTGTTCAAACGATTCTTTAACTTCGTTGAATGAAACTGCTAATCCATAAGAAAGAGCAATAAGAGTTGACAATACAATAAATCGTAACATTTTGAGCTTTATTTAGTTAATTGATCACAAGTATATTCCAATATTAACAATGATTAGTTTACAAGTAGCGATTTCTGTTTAAATATTAATCATTTAGTCAAAGAATTCATCATGTGATCAACTCTCGACTCAATTCTAAGAATATACAGTCGGAGAAAATAAGTTTGACGGTGGTTTTAAATTATTTGCGCAGAAAGAGTGATAAAAACAATTTATCAATGATTAGATAATCAAGAGATTCAAATTTAACATTGATTTGATTGATAAATTGTTGTTATCAATTTTGCCTGCGCGAATGATATAAAACCACCGTCAAACTCATTTTCTCCGAATGTATATCCAACTGTGTATAAACACGATCATAAAATTATTATCGTTAACTGGCGTTAAATTGTTTGTTCCAATAAAGTACTTTTTTTATACTTAATATCAACTCAAGTTAATCATTCAGGTTTCTTCCTTAATTTTCATTATCAATTTCAATAACAATACATTAATATCGATCGTTTTTAATTTGATATCGGGTGACTGAAAATGAATTAGTATCTCAAGAATTTTAGGTTCTAGAATGAAGTTAAAAAGGTCATTGAAAGCGCCATCGATAAAATATAGACCAATAATTTTTCCAAAATTTTCGCAGCTCAAATGTGACTGTAGTTCTTATTTAAAGGCCAAAATAGCGATTTTCTCTATGGGAAATTTATAATGGGAAAGTTAAATAGCAATTTTCTTTAATTTTGGCCTTGTTGTATCTCAATAACCTTACTTTAGATAATGATGAGCTTAGGTACTTAAGATAACAGGTCAAAAAGAATAACCAAAAATTTTGAGTGCAAAGTCAACCGTTCGCTTTTCAGGCCACTCGATTTCTCGAGAACCATACGTCCTAGAAAAAAAGACGAACATTTTTTGACTCAACGTTAAATTTACTTTCTGAAAATGTACAGATAAGTGGGTCTAAAACTTAAGGTTCATGAGATACTCACTCATTTTCGGTTACTCGATATTAACAAATTATTGAGATCTTGTTAACAATCAATATGATAAGTAAAACTCTGATTGTAAATAATGAACTTGATCAAGGCTAACTAGTAATATTTAAGCAAAAATCGTTAACTGTAAACTGAATCTTGATGATATAGACACAATTAAGGAAAAATTAGTATTTGTATTTAATATATGATATTTACAACAATTACAATTGTAATAAAATCGCGTTCACAATTTGTTGGTTTTAATCATGTTGTTTGAATCAAGTTATTGTAAATACATTGTACTTAATTAATTTATCCTCTGATCATTTTTTTTAAAGTCGAATCAATGAAAATTTAGTTAAACAGAGTAAAAAAATTCAAATTGAGCTACAGAGAAAGAGGGATGATTAAGATTATAATTTTCTTTCTTTTTCTGTTTGTTGATTGTTCATTTAACTAATTTAATAAAAACCGAATACATATAAAGCTATGGCTGAGCCATCAACATTTCAACAGAATCGTTAATTTTAAACTAATCAATATTCATATTGATACACAGGGAAAAAAGTAATCAATTGAATAGTTTAGATTTCAGTATGGATTAGCTGTTGGATTAGGACCACTGGTCCAGTAGATTAAGTTAGGGCCCAATCAGAATTAGGGTTATCATGTAAATACTAATAAGTTGATAGACACAAAGGTTTAAACGTTTTCTTTGACTTTATTCATGATAATCTGAATGATACAAAGGATAATCAAATAATGGATTGGGATTTAGACGATGGGATAAGAAGCAGCGGTCGCAATACCACAGAGATTGGAACCTCGTTGAAGTCGGAAATAACCCTTTTCACCGAAGCTTTTGCCCCATGAATTTTTGACTATCCAATAGTCTTTAGAGCCTTCGGTACCATAGCCAACAACAGTAACACCATGATCCAGTTGACCAAATGCAGATCCGCATTCAGTATCAGAATCAATAATTCCAGAGCTGCAGGAAAAGAGAAATGAAAAAATAATTGATTATTATTACAATCTAAAGACAGAATTTTTTGAAATGAATTTTATCGATAAAACTTACGAATAGAGTTGAACTGGAGTGGCATCAATAGCAACGGAAACGGGTTGTTGAGCGACAGCACTCAAAAGAGCATCTTCATCACCGCTTGTGACATTGGCATAAGATGAGATGGTGGCACCAACTTTCTTAGCACTGAATCGACAGCTTTCATCATAACCGGCGTATGGATAAGCGGCCTCAGTATCAATACCGTGATTCGAGATGACGTATTGGAAAGCGTTATCCATTAAACCACCATTACAACCTTCATCTTGGCTTCGATCACAATCGACAAGATTTTGTTCACTAAGAGAAACAAGTTTACCATTCTTGAGGAAATTAGCACCTTCGATAGCTGCGACAGTTGAGAAAGCCCAACATGATCCACATCCACCTTGGTCTTTAACACCAGTAACGGCTCCTTTGGATCTCCAGTCAACGGAGGCTGGAAGCTCATTCTTAGGTACCTTTTTATGGACACTTGGTGCATAAACGGGACCAACACCCTTCAAACCCAAATGTTTAGCGACAAATTCATCGTGAGTCTAAAAACAAATATAAATCAAGTCGTAAAGATCATCAATCAGAAACGAATGAAGAAAAAAAAAGTTGATCACTCACCAAATCGGCAAATTTGTTTACTCCAAGTCGATACGAGTGTTGACCATTAGCAGCTCGAGCATTGTGAGCCTTGATTTTAGCGAAATTCTTAGCGAAGATCTTGAATCGTTGAGCTTCTTCTCTAGCATCGGCATAAACAACACCATGATCACCCTGTTATCAACAAAATTAATTATTAATGATTATTATTCTGATTTGGAAATGAGCGAAAATGAATTTACCTTAAATTGTTCAAACGATTCTTTAACTTCGTTGAATGAAACTGCTAATCCATAAGAAAGAGCAATAAGAGTTGACAATACAATAAATCGTAACATTTTGAGCTTTAGTTAGTTAATTGATCACAATTATGTTCCAATATTAATAATGATTAGTTCACATGGAGCGATTTCTGTTTAAATATTAATTATTTAGTTAAAGAATTGGTCATATGATAACTTTTCACTCCATACTAAGGAATAGATATCCAATCACCACCATGGATAAACATGATCAGAGTTAATTGTTCCTGTTCATTATTCACAATTAGATTGTTAATTATCACTTAAATTTTGATAAAATCACCAATCAATGTACTCAAACAATCAATTCGCTTGTTACAATAATGTAATGTTTATACTTAATTCAGTTGATCATTCAAATCTCTTCCTGATTTTGTTATGTTTTGATTTTCATTATCAACTTTCAAACAATTAAATTATCAATTGACAATTAATGCTAATATCAATCATCATCGATATTGATTAATGGTTAGATTTCCAACAATCTATCAAATCTAATTCGTTCATTATACTTGAGAAATTATTATTGTTGTTATTTAATATTCAATTGTAATCAAATCTTGATCACAACTTGTTGGTTTTAATTGTCTAATCATATTATTGGAATCTGATTATTGTGAATACATTGTACTTAGTTAAGTTATCTCTTGATTGTTTAATTAAACAACAACAACGATTATTAATTCTGGTGGTCACCCATTCAGATTAATTGTAATTCTTCGTGTGATAATTAAATTGTTTCTCTAATTGTTTGGATCAATCATTTAATGGAAATGATTAATGTTCTTTAATTGTTATTAATATTTAGTTTCTTTGTATTAATTGGAATAATAGTAATCGAAACTTTTAATAGATTTTCGATTAATTATTATTTATTGTCTCTGGAATAGATTAATGATAAGAGTTTTTATTGTTAAATGAAGAGGATTAAGTAACAATTAGCAAAGTTAATTTGGCAAAATATCAAAATATGATTGTTTTATTGTTATAATACTGTTACATTAGATGGCAAGTTTTGTAATTTGTTGTTTTAATTTTCATTGAAATTGATATTCTGAGGAAGAGGAAGTGGAAACAGAGGTGGAAAATTAGTATTATCTTAATTAGACAACAGGGTAAGAGGCTTGAGTGGCAACACCACAGAGATTTTTGCCTCGGGCCATTCGGAAGAAACCCTTTTCACCCCAACCTGATCCCCATGAGTTCTTGATGATCCAGAAGTCCTTCTTATCGGTACCATAACCAACAGCGGTAACACCATGATTAAGGCTTTTAGCGTCTGAGGAACAGAGGAAACCAATATCGAAAATACCACCACTGAGAAGAGGAAAATGATACAAGTTAATTGTTTTCTGATGATACAACTAATCGATAGTATATTCTAATTTCTGGTTACTTACGAGTAAAGTTGAAGGAAGAGTGAAGCATCAATTGCAACGGAAGTTGGTTGTTGGGCAACAGCACTGGCTAAAGCAGCTTCGTCACCACTGGCAACATCAGCGTATGAGGTGATGGTGGCACCAACTTTACTGGCATCAAATGAACATGAACCGTCTTTACCCTTGTATGGATAAGAATCTTCGGTATCAATACCCTTGTTTGAGATGACATAGTCAAAAGCGTTATCCATTAAACCACCATTACAACCTTCATCTTGGCTTCGATCACAGTCGACAAGATTTTGTTCACTGAGGGAAACAAGTTTACCATTCTTGAGGAAATTGGCACCTTCGATGGCTGCACAAGCTGAGAAAGCCCAACATGATCCACATGAACCTTGATCTTTAACACCAGTAACGGCTCCCTTGTCTCTCCAGTCAACGGAGGTTGGAACATCTTTAGCGGCAAGATGATTGTGTAAAAGTGGAGCTGGTTTCTTGGCTTCACCCTTGTAGGTCAAGTATCGGGCTGAGAATTCATCGAAAGTCTAAGCAATAGAAAAGAAGAGAAAAATAAACACCAAAAGAATGGAAAACGAAATGAAAACCAACGAATTAGACTTACCAAGTCAGCGAATTTGTTGACACCAAGAGTAAATGAGAATTCACCATTGGCAGCCTTTGAGTTGTGTTCCTTGATGAAGGCGAAATTTTTAGAGAAAACTTCAAATCGATGAGCTTCTTCAGCTTTATCATCGTAAACGATACTGTGATTTGCCTGGAGAAAAGTAAAAGAAAAACATAAACATTAAAGGAAATTGATATAAACAAACGAGAAAAAAAGAGAAAATCTATCGGATATAAAATCGATGCCAGAATTTTGGCAAATTATTCCACAGAGAATAATTTACTAATCTAGGCCAGTTGAACTAAATTAACTAAAAGAAAAGAATAAAAAAAGAGAAACAATTAACTTACTTTGAAAGCTTCAAAATGTTGTTTCAATTCATTAACTGAAACAGCTAATCCATAGGAAAGAGCAACAAGAGTTGCCAAGACTGCAAATCGCAACATGATTCAAGATTATCGGATTGTTTATGGTGGTTTGTTGTTAACAGAATAAATCACAATTAACTAATTACTTCAAGGATCAACAATGAACGTATTTAAATACTCAAATGAAATCACAATCAAAATAGAGAGAGAGAGATCAATGTAAACAGATTAACAGGGATACAAAGATAACATTGAAACGGTAATAAGAGCAAAGAGTAAACTGAAACTCAGGATAAAGATTAGAAAACCATTGTCATGATTCATCATCCATATTAATTGTAATTTCACATATCAGATGATGATAAGAGGAATTAATTAATTACACATTCTTCCTCATGATGACAATCATTTTAAACACAATTTAACTGAGAAAACAATAGAGATGAACAAAAACAAAATGGTTACCAGGAACATTGGAAAAAAACACCAACTTGTAACCCGAAAGACAAAAAGATAAACCCAAATGAGTACACAATTAAATCCTAATCACAGAACAATAATCAACAATCACAAAAAAAGAAGAAGAGATTTAGAACAAAATTGAAAATAAGAAAACATCTCAACCTGGATGAGATTAAGACAGAAGAGTAAATAAAAAGGATTAGCTTACCTTTAATCTTTTCCTTTCATCCGCTAACATTTGGATTTGTTTACTTTCCATTTCAGATGATTTTCCAAGCAAAAGAAATTGATTATCGTTCCAGTTTCCATGATAATCTTAGACCATAAACACCTAAATTTTTGCCTCACCAACTAAAGAGAGAAAATTTTCTAGTTCATTTTTGTTTTCGAACAAAAAATAAATTCTATTCTTTTTTTCAATTTTTTCTATTCTCTTTTCAATTTCGCTCCAACTAACATCTTATTGGCTTGAAGGTCTACACTCAAGCGGCAACAAGATTACTGTTTATTTTGTTTTGTTCACCACAAAAAGAATCAACTAAATTGGGACAACTGAGAGAGAGAATAACAGTAATTTAAATAATCTTCTTCACAATTGTTAATCTTCTTCTTGATTAGTGTGTTTGTCTTTCCACCAATTAATTAAATTGCCAATTTAACCAAAACAACTGAATGAATTGATCTCTTCTCGCCTTCTTAATAACCATTAATAAGGATGTGATGTTTTTGTTTTTCTCTCTCTCTCTAATTATCTTCGAGGTGTTAATTGTTTCCATCACAATTTAAACTCAATCAACATGATGATTGATTTTTGATCAAATTGTTTCATGTAGTTAATAAGCTTCATACCAAAGGTATTTAGAATTTCACTTTTTCTATTCTATTCTATTCTATTGTTTTGTTTTGTTATTCTATTTTTCTATTTTCTCTCTTCTCTCTCCATCTTTTTTTTTATTCAGTTTTTTTTATCTTGTCATCTCTTCCCACCCACATACACACACTCACATCTTTTTGTATCATTTTCAGGTTTTCTAAATTGATCCTGTTATATCCTCCCTTCTTTAACCATATTAGATGTTTATAATTATTTGGATTAGACAGTTTAACAACCCAAACAAATCATCGTTCTTGTTGGTGTGACCATTATGTAAATCGGATGACGGAGAGAGGAGAGAGAAAGAGATATTTTGTTTTAGTGGAAGATAATCTAATCTTTTTTACCTTTTTCTTGATTTCTCTTTGTTATCTGTTTGTTTTTTCCAGGATTAATCTTCTCTATTTTTTATCAGAAAGATATTATATATTCCAAGATAAAATACCGGTAAAATGTTAAGTGATTACAACGATTCATCTGTCAACAGTATGAACCGAAACACCAACGCCAATGGTTTTAGTGAAAAAGATTATGATGAAATTGATGATGATGGCGATGATTATGCTACACCAAGTGCACAAAATCGTGAACTCTCTCGATCCCGTTTAACTTTGGATAAGATAATTGGTGAAGGACAATTTGGTGATGTTTACCGTGGCACATATCGTACCCTTGACGATTCACTTTTAGCTGTGGCGGTGAAAACATGTAAACCAGAATCGGAAAAGATTATGGGTGAAAGTTTCCTCGAAGAGGCTTACATAATGAAACAATTTGATCATAAACATATCATCCAATTAATTGGAATATGTTCACAATCACCATACTGGATTATCATGGAATTGGCCAGACATGGTGAACTCAGAGCCTTCCTTCAAAATAATAAAGATCACCTTGAACTGACACGCCTTATAATGTATTCTCATCAACTGTCAACCGCCTTGTCTTATCTTGAGAGTAAAAAGTTTGTCCATCGTGATATTGCCGCTAGAAATGTTCTCGTCTCTTCTTGGGATTGCGTTAAACTTGCCGATTTTGGACTTTCACGAATTCTCCAAGAAGATTCTTGTTATTATAAAGCATCTAAAGGAAAATTACCCATTAAATGGATGGCACCAGAATCGATCAACTTTCGCAGGTTTACCGTTGCATCTGATGTTTGGATGTTTGGTGTTTGTGTCTGGGAGATTCTTATGCTTGGTGTTAAACCTTTCCAAGGTGTTAAAAATAGTGAAGTTATTCATAAAATTGAAAACGGTGAACGTTTACCTTTACCACCTTATTGTCCACCTCGACTTTACAGTTTATTGTGTCAGTGTTGGTCTTATGGTCCATCAAAGCGGCCAACATTCCGAGAGATTCGTCAAATTTTATTGGAAATATTTGAAGAGGAAAAATCTCAATCATCACCATCATCATCATTCTCAGGTGAACCCTTTTCAAGTTTAACCCGTCGAGGTTTAGATAAACATTGGAGGGAAAACGCAATTTCATCATCACCATCAAATTACTGTTCAAATGATGATCCACCTCGAATACCAATTAAAAGATATACCGATAGAATCAATTCCACCTCTTCCTCCCTTCCACCTATTCCACCCTTAGCACCATCGACATACATTGTGGCCACAAGTCCCGAAGTATTAGCAAAGCTAATGAACGACAATGAGCACAGTATTCCACCCGCTTGGGCCTACACCGCGCCCGCTTCACCTTCCAACACCTATGCCATTGAACCAGCTCATCTTGAGGGACAGGTTTGTTGTAATTTGAGCTAATTAACACTTGATAAAATCTAATCAAACACACTGAGGTTACTTTCATTTTGTCTCATTCTTTATATAATCCAATTGTTAATTTATTAACCATTGAGCTAATTAACTAACTAAACGATTTCTTTTCTTTTGATTTCTTTCAATAGCAACAACAGGAATCAATTGTTGAAGGTAAACGTGAACAAATTGAATCTAAATTAAAGCGACAACTCAAAGAATCGGAAGAGGACTCAAGATGGCTTCAACAAGAGGAACGTGAAATGTTTGCTGCAATAAGTCAACCACAACAACGACACTCAATTAGTGATATGAGTGCTAAAAATTCATGTTATGAACCACTGTCACCAACAAGTAGTATTGGTTCATTTCATTCACTTGATCTTTCAAATCCTGATTATAGTAGTGAGTAGTTTTTTCCTGCTCGATTGAATTGAACTTGTTAATTGATTATTTTTTTTCATACTCTTAATTTTGTTTACACTTTTTTTTCCAGGTCTTTCCTTAACTCACACTAAAAGGAAACCAATTGAAACCAAATCATCATCATCTCTGGGAACCAGTCCATCACCAAGTGTTGGCTCGGTTACACTTCCTCAACCCACCGCTGAATTGGATCGAAGTGAAGATCTAGTCTATCGATTTACCACCAATGTGGTTTATTCTGTTCGCAATTTACTCCAAGGTGTCCAAGAAAGTCGAGTAATTAACTATACTGATCTCGTTAAAGCTGTTGGTCTCGAGCTTAGAGGTTTACTAGCATCGGTTGATGATTTAATTGTAACCCTACCCCTCTGGTCACATCGAGAAATTGAAATGGCTCATAAAGTTTTATCCAAAGATATGGGAGCTCTAATCGAGGCAATGAAAAATGCTCAAAAGTACAGTCGAACAACCGTTGAAAGGGAATATCGAAGAGTAATGTTACAATCGGCTCATGATTTAGTCGTGGATGCTAAAAATCTATTGGACACTGTTGATTCAGTTCGATTAAAGATCTCGTTAGGCTCTTTCAATGGCGAATCAACAATTAACCCAAATTAACATTAATTCATTGAACTAATGTCAACAAACATATTACATCGTAACAAAGATCATGCTGCATGATTAACTTTATCATCATTCTCATCATCATCATCATTCACAATTTGATGGCAGCAATTTAAATTGATTGGATCACATTTTTTTCTGCATCTTCTCATGATTTAACAATTTAAGAAAAATCTATTCACCAGTTTCTTGTATTAATCGATGATTAAATCAAGTGACAGTAATTTTTTTTTAATTATCTCTTCACTTTTTGCCTTGTAACCACTTCTTATAATCAATATCAAGATGATACAATAGACCAAAAATGTTAATTGTTGATTAGAGTAAACTGGTTAATCTAGTTTATAGTTAATCACCTTTGTTACATATGATTTATCATGATAATCACTTTGTTGATGATTTCAGTTATTTACACTTACAATTTAATTACCAAATCATGGCAAAGATGAAGTTAATTTCATGATTATAATAAGTGATTTAATTAATTCCACCCATTTTTTTGTTCAATCTTAAATTTCGTCTATTAAAATCCTCTATTATCATCAACTAATTGTCGTCAGAATAAAAATAATGAGCATAAACAATTTGATGAAGTTCATTGACTAAAGACAATTAGCTGATTACCTTTAATTATCCAGGAAGAAAATATTTCTAAATAAATTATAATTATTACTACAATTAAGTTGATCAATAGTTAACTTTATGTATTAATATTAATACAAATATAGAGTTGATTTAATGGTCAATACTTTTTTTTCTGATTAACTTTGAAAAGGGTCATCGGTTCAAGGTCAATCAATTTCTTACCCATTGAGTGGTCATCAAGTATTTAATTACAATTAAACTTGAATCAATTACGTAAATGGAGTAACTATTATCAATTTGATTAATTCACCTTTGATTCTGAGTTAAATTGATTCAAGAACAAACTTAATAACTAATTTACCTGTCAAATATTATCAATTGATTGTTATTATAATAATATTTACACTACTTAATTGATCACAATTAAGATTAATATCTTTTCATGGAAACAGTTGAATCAATTAATTGTTTAGATTCTGAAACAATCTAATCAACAATGTCACCAAATAAACATCAATCTCATGTGGATATTCAAAGTTTAGCAAAGTTAATTTTCTCGATACAATCAGTTAATTGTATCCAATTGGCCAAGAAAATTACAATTTAAATTGTTGATTACATTAGATTGTCCATTGAGAATTGAAATAAACTATTATTATATTGATAAGCTTACAGAATTGATGATGATAATAATTATTCATTTCGATTAGCCAATCTTGAGATTGTCACCAACTGACCATTAATATTGATGAAACTTTCATCAGATTTTCATGATACTTATCCTGAATTTCCTGTGAGATTTCATACCTGAGTATGCAAATCTAATCCATCATGTATTGGATGACATTCTCAATAACCTCTAATAACATTTATCATAACCTGAAGCTTTTAAACTTGAATGTGAAATATTAAATTTCCTCTTTAATAAATTAAGTTGATCACCATGAAAGGATAAACATAATCATGTTTATCCAAGGATATTCAATATTAATATCAAACTGATGAAGGGGGGAAAAGTTCTGATCGTCTTCATGAATAATATTGTGTGTACAGTGTTTCCTTTTTTTGAAAAAAGATATTAATAATTTCCTGAATCCTGAATGAAAATTACATGATACTCTGATGAAAATGGGTGAAAATAATATCATCATCATCATCATGATTTATTATATTACATGAGATCTAATTTGATGAGGAAAAAGTATCGATATCAATTAATTTTAGTAATTGATGATTATAAAAAATTGTGATATTTTATATTGAAAGATTATCTTAGTTGATTCAATTGAAATCTCTCAGGTAAACAACGATAACATCTAATTCATTTCATCAATTCAAATCTCCATAGAAATCAATTTAATCGTCTTCTCGTTAGATACTATGTTTAAATTGCTTCTTTGACGATTGATCTGTTTCTAAATTGTTGTTGTTTTTATGCTTTGCAAATGATTAAATTTGATTTTTAGATTGTAACTTCTACTGGGAATTTATCATAATAATAGTATTAATAATATTCCAATGTAGAGGAAAGAGTTAATCAAGAAGATGAACAAACAAAATTCAGGTAATTTCAAGTTGATTGAGTTTTCTATTGAAAATATTGATCTTTTCTCATTTTAACCTGAGTTTCTATTGGAACAGCCGCAAATCATGATGATAAAGAAGATAACAAATAGTAAACGATAGGGGAAAAGTTCGAGAGAGAGAGAGAGTCACAATCTCTCTCATGAATTTTACCTGAGACTCATTTCATTATCACCGATTCTGATTCTGAACCATTGAAACTATTGTCATAAGAAATTAACTCTTTACTAATTGTGATTAATTTACTTCTCATTCATATCCAAACGACAATAAACTGTCATTGATTTGATTGTTAATTTCTTAGTTACTTTAATTGTGTCTTCTTACAGCTACGAGTTAATTATTTTTCACTCACTTAAATTGTTGATTAGATTTTAGTGTTTTCATCAATATGATGATTTAGCCTGAAAATTGGTCTTGTTTTGTTTTATAACAATTTAACAGCAATTTAAATTATGATTGTGTTTATAATTTTATCTTGTGTTTATAGTTGACTAATTATTATAATTTTGAATGAAAAAAAACAATCAAATGGAAATTAAATTGTTAACAATAACATCAATTCAATTGTTAATAATTGTGCTTAATTTTATTACTCTCATTGAAACAATCAACACACCATTCAAATTAAATCAACAGTATTACTATCAACAAGATGAGCACTTTAAAAAAGCTCAATTACAAAGACATTCAAAGCAACAACAACAACAATTAAACATTGAACCAGAAGCACAACAATTAGTTGATCAACAACACGAAGAACAACAATTTTATCTAAATGGACAATCAACAACTGAATCAATAGAAAATCTAATTGAACAGCAACAATTAAGAGAGAGACAAATTGTACTAATACAAGAGAGACAACGTCAACAACAAGAGCAACTCCAACAATTAGGAGTCCATCTTGTTTGTGACACTCATTTATGCTCATCATCAACCGGTGTATTCGGTGGGTTCGGAGGTGGTAACGGTGGTGGTGGTGGTAGAAATGGAGGTTCAAGTGAAAGTAGTGAAGATTATGTTGATACAAAGAACGATCTAAATAATAATGTCAATGTTAATGCTCCTAATCAGAGGTTTCGATCGGCCTTAACGGGTTCGAGTTCTAGTGAAACATCGTTGGCACTCGAGGTGAAACAGTGTAGTTGTAATCAATCGTGTACCAAGTATGGTGATTGTTGCCTCGATTCGGTTTCGTCGAAAGTTTCTCTCGATAAAAAGTTCCACGGTGGATTTAAGAGTGACAGCCCTTGGCGCCATTGGCAGTGTACTACACTTCGTATATTGACCCATTCGATTCATATATTGACCATTGGTGGTTGTTCAAGATTCTGGCCTCGTAAACCTGGTGACTCGATACAAGAAAAGTGTGAAGAAGTTGGTTCGGGTTTGGTTGATGAAGATCCTTTCCTTTCGGTGCCAATCTATTCACTTCGAACTAAACAAAATTATCGTAACCTTTATTGTGCCGTTTGTAATTACGATGCCGCTTATGCGTCAACCTGGGAAACTTTTACCATGTGCGTTAAAAATGATTCGCAGGGCCGATGCTCCAAGTCTTTTGTTTACTTTGAAAAGCCTCAAGGAGTTGACCTGCACGAGTGTTATCCATCCGATTACGATTCGTGTCCCAATAGTTTATCAATCATGAGTGAAGAGGTAATCAAATGTGGACTTTATTATGCTCCCGTTAAACTGGCCACTGGATTAACGGCTAAAAATGAATGGTGTGCGAGCTGTAATAATGTAACCATTGTGGGTTCCGTTTGTCCGGAGACAAGGCCAACTTATGAGAGACCACCGATTAACCTTCATGGTTCTGGTAGACATTTCTCACTTCCGGTTATTCTTGACATTGATTTTACCACCGGAGGATTAATTGTTGGTACACAGGAACGATGTCCACCCAATAATGTTTACGATCCATGGAAACGCGCTTGTAGAGTGGTCACTTGCGATAGAGACTCTCAACTGGAAGGTGACCAATGTGTACCAAATTCCGATGTTCACACTGACGGAACATCGCTCACCTTTCATGTTTGTCCAAAGATTAGTTTCAATCCGGAAGAGTATGTTATCTATTCCAATGGTACCGTTTATATAACCTCACGAGATAAACAGATCGAACCAGGTCACTATCGTATCGATATATCAACCCAAAAGTTGTCGATTTGTGCCCATTCACATGTTATACTGATCGGAAAGTTCAGTTCAACCCACGATTATTTATCCAACATCGGCACTTCCATATCGATAATATCTCTTTGCATTAAGATTGTCCTATTCTTTTGCGTACCACAACCCCGACGAACGGCAAACATTGTAATACTTTTCCTTTGTATTTCTCTTCTTTTGGCTCAATCGCTTTTCCTTTTCGGTATAACTTTAACCTCGAATCCACTTTTCTGTTCAATAATCGGCATCGGGATCCATTATTTGTACTTGGCCTCATTCTTCTGGATGAATGTTCTCTCATACGATATTTTCTGTACCTTCTCAATGGACTTGCGACTTGTCCCTCAGGGTAAAATCTCATCAAGCCGACAAATCATTTGCTATTCATTTTATGGTATGTTCACTCCCCTACTGGTCATTTTAGCCTCCACCCTAACTGACCAGTTTGCCCGTTCATCAATATTTGCACCAAACTATGGCCATGAAATTTGCTGGGTCTCCAATCGATTGGCACTTTTAGTCTTCTTTGCAATGCCAGTCGCCATCTTGCTTATAATTAACGCAGGTAAGAACAATTAACCTTTTCCTCTGTCATTTCAACCAAAATCAACCTCCAAACAATCAGTAAATCACTAAAAAAAAGGTAATAAACCAAATGACAAAACAACAAGTTGAAAAATTGAACAACAATTGAAATCGCTAAATTGTCACATTTTAAATTGATCACATCCTCTTAATGTTTAATCAGCTTCGTATTAATTATCCAGTTTACTTTTGTACCATGAGAAAGTGAAATTATTTACAATTTAAATTGTCAACCTGATTGTTATCACTTATGAGTATCAGTCATAAAGATACAAGTGAATTAGTTGAAAATGATAATTAAACAGTTGAAAAGTTTTTTCTTCCTTTAAACAGCAATTAACATTTAAGAGCATTACCAAGTTCATGATAATAAAGTGATAATAATAAATAGATTGACAATACTGACCATGTGTTGACTGTTAATGTCCATCGGCTTGGTGGACACTCACAAAAACAATGGTCAGTATTGATAATCGCCGACAGAATATAATCTTGAAAATGACCAAAATCTCAAAGTAAACAGAGAAAAGCTCATTAGGTAAACAATAACAGGCAAACCTTTACCTTTCGCCTCACAACTTAATCCAATAAAACATTAATCCATTTTAATTGTTATCCCAAATCGATGAGCTTAATTGTAAATCCAATCAATCATTTCCTTAATCCATCAGCCTTAAAATCAATTATTATTTTCACCTAGAAAAACATAAAGTTAGCAAACTCTTTTAATTTTCAATCTTCATTATCGACAATTAACTCAATTACCAATTTCTCTGATTAAATTAAATTACCAATAATATTTACCTTGAGAACTTAATCAACAACAATTAACTTTAATTTTCTTTGGGAAAGGGTAACGAGCGCCATCTGTTTGGAATAGAAGAAACTTTTTTTTCTCTATTAACTTAATTGTTGATTTAATTAAGTTTCTTTTTCTAATTTAATTTTTTTGTTTTCTTTTTCCAAATCTACTTAGAGAGTTAATTAAGTCTTTTAATCTGTTAATTGTTTTCTTTTTCATCTTGATTGAATATTAATCCAGTTGTTTAGGCGATTAATTTTCTTCATTATGTTTTGTTTTGAATTTTGATTTTCTATCAACTCGATTAAGCCTCTTAAATTGTGATTAATTTTTATCCGATTAAATTAAAAGTAAATCACAGAGAGATATTGAATATATATATTATATTTGTATTGATCATTTAATAAATCATATCTTTTTGTATCTTAATTACATTTCAATTTGTTTTTTTTGTGGGTTTGCAACAGGCTTGAGATGATTAAACCAGTTTGTTGATTGTTTGTTGATTGTTGTATTAATAGTTATTTAAACTGTAATTTTGTTTTTCTTGTTGTCTCTTAATCAATTCAAAAAGCGATATCAAATTTCAAATTTAATTATAGTATCAAAAGGTTTAATCTCAATCTTGCTTTTGAGACTCAATCATGAAATTATAATCTGATGTTTGTTGTTGAAAATGATGGTGATGGTGATGATGGTGAAGATGAAGATGATTAGTTGATAATCTAAATCATTTAAGAAAAAGATCAACTAATTATCATCTGTATGTATATATATATTCAATATTAAAGATGATGATGATGATGGTGATGATTTTGTCTTGAAAAAAAAACAACAAATGATTTGTGATCAGGTAAATGTACAAATATTGATTGGGGGTTGCTATTGGTTTTGGTGATTGATTTGGGTGGTGATTAGAAAGCCAATCCATTAGATTAGTTGTTAATTGTTGATAATTAAAAACTTTTATAAATTCTTTTGTCTTTTGTCATATTATTTCGATTGTGTGTTACTTGGACGGTTTGGTTGGACGGAAACGTTGAATAGTTTTCTTTGCATTCACTGCAACTCGAATTAATAAGATCTCGAAAATCGGTAAACTGGCCCGGGAAAATGTCGCTATCCGACGAAAGACATTCATCATCTATACCAAACTTTTCCTCATCATGGGTTTAACCTGGATCTTTGGTTTCATCGCCGCTTATGCCAAAAATTCATTCCTCTGGTCGCTTTTCATTGTTTTCAACAGTCTTCAAGGTTTCTACATTTTGATTGCATTTACCGATATCAAATGGGGTAACCTTCGTAATTTAATCAACTGTCCACTCCATCGGAAGACCACATCAAGTTCATCTATTGCCACAGCGACGACCATCTCAACGGAACAATAATTATAAAAAGAGAGAGAGAGAGAGAAAGAGGGAGATGATGAAAGGACAAGGAACACACATCACGAAAATCGAGAACGGAAACGGAAAACAATCACAAAAGGCCAACAATAAATCAACATTGAAGAAAACAATCTCATCTCATTGATAAAATATTATCCATATTATATAACGTGTGTCACATTTTTCTGTGTCCAGTTTTTGTTTGTGTCTCTTTTAATTTTGAAAGCATTTCATTGTTAATAATATAAATTTTGTCGTTTTTGTCCCCAACTCGATCATTTTGAAAAAGGTCCGTGGTGTTTATGTCAAAATGTCTTTATAATATCAACACGAACTCTTTTTCTTAATTTTCATTTTCTTCCTCATCTTCTTATGTTTGTTTTTTAGATACAAATCACAAAGGTGACCTTTACAACACCGTCAAAATGATGGGGATTATGATGATGGTCATGAGGTGAGTGATGAGAAGAATGATGATTAAGATGATGATTATGGTGAACAAGGTGAAGATTGTTGGGATGATGAAGTGATTGTTGTTGTTGCTGCTGTTGATGAACAAGATGATGATTGGTAACAATTGAATTGGTTGGAGGTTTACCAGTGACAACTAATCCTCCACCTCCAATTGAATGTTGTTGTTGTTGTTGTTTTGTAGATAATCATGATTATCCTCTGAAGGCATTGATGGTGATGGTGATGTTGTTGTCGATATTGTTTGAGGTGTGATTGTTAATACTGGACCAAACAGTTTTGTAATGGATGGACCAAAAAGATCCGTAGCATGGTCAATTAAATAAGTAATCAAATTCGGTACTAATTTAGATATCACCTGAAACCATACAAAAGTAAGAAAAAAAGAAGAAAAAAAAATCGAAATCGTTAAAAATAAATTGCAAATTAAATGTTAATGTTAAATAATATATAGAATATATTGAAATAATAAATAAGAAGAAAAAAGTTGATTCACTTTTTCTTATCATTTTCTTTTGATCATTTGGTTTGCATTTCCCTTTTTCTGATCTTATTTTCTGATTGAGAAAAATATCGGTAAAAAGAAATGATCTTTTCTTACCTCACACCGTTTAACGGAGATTTCGCTATCATCGGCCAGTAGACTTGGTGCTATGCAAACGGCCAAATTGTTTGAGCTCATCATATTTTGATCTGATTGTTGTGCGATGTGCCACAAAACACAGATAAAATACTTTAATAGAATTAAATTTTCGGCCTTCAATTTAACCAAAAGCTGCTTAATTCGAATTAATTTCTCCAATTCATTGTCACAATTTAAACTAATCACTGACATCCAATCATCTAGATACTTTTTCTCCAATAAACCATCAGGTAAACTACGAATTAATTCCTTAAATACTGAGGCAATTGCAGTAACCGGATAATCATCTAGATCCATGTTTGGATTTTCTTCCAATTTAATTTTAAGCTCACGACAAATTCGAGTATTTGCCGATTTACGGAAAATTCCCACTGTAGAAGGTCCTTTAATATAAAGTTGTTTAAGTAGGTTAATTACCGGTGGAACCAAAGTGACCTGATCTTTACATAGGACACTCATTTCGGGACCGAATAATTTTCTCAGGCAAATCTTTGAGGTAGAAGATGGCGAAGAAGAGGAAGAAGAGTTTGGTGAAGAAGATGAAGATGACCACGATGAAGAAGAGGAAGAAGATGAGGAAGAAGATGACGATGAAGAAGAAGATGATGAAGAAGATGAAGATGAAGGTGATGCAGATAATGAATTATAACAATTGGGCGCCAGGCTTATTGGACTTGTTGAACCATCTAAAGTATCCGATGATTCTGAGCATTTAGAGGAGACACTTTTCCTAAAAGGCCAATTGATTGTTTTCCTACGACCTTTTTTCACCTTCTTACCAGTGTCAAGGTTAACAGGGGTTGTTGTTGTTGTTGTTGTATTACCATTAATGGCAGAGGTAATATTATTATTAACACTTTTACTGTTATTGTTGAGATGATTAATATTATTATTGTTATTACTTATGGTATTATTGTTGTTAATATTATTTGCCAGAGTAATTGAAATATTATTGTTGTAAGTGTTACTCTTATTGGTTGCTGTTGGTGTTGTGGCCGTTGAATTTTTTGAATGGCTATTGTTGTAATTAATCACGTTATTATGTACACAGGTATACATTTTTCGTCTCAATAGGAAAGAGTAGCTCTCTTTTACCATACTTTTACTTGCTTCCTTCCATTGACAGAGATCCATGTAGTCAGAGTTTTCGGTATTTGTAGATGAAACCAAACAACCAAGATACTTGTCATGCTGTGTAATACGATCCAACTAATTAATATAATCAAAAGAACAAATAACCAATCAGTTTACATTTGGAAATATTTAAAAACACAACAGAGAAAGAGAGAGAGAGAGATATTAGAGAAACACTCAGGTTTACATGATGAAGAGAAGAAAAAAAATCCACAAGAATATTAATAGAAATTCAATTATATTATCAACTATAGACACATTGGAAACACACTAATCCACAAACGCTACGTTAACCCAAACAGGAGATTGAAATAAATGAAAGGAAAAAGAGAAAAGCAAAAAGTTGAAGCGAATTTTTGTTCTTTTCCAATCAGCGCCATCTATCGGTGGAAAACGAAAGCTCTTCTTATGAATTTTTGAAGTTCTATTCTATTGTTGCTCCAATCACAATAATCTCAACAACTTTTCAACAACCGGTTTTTAGGTTTCAGTTAATGATTTAATTTGAGCAATTTAAATGGATGAAAATAAATTATCATCTTCCGAGTCTTTCTTATCCTCTCTATTTCTCTTTCTCTTTCTCTCTATGAATCAGGTAAAAGCGACTGAATATCATTTAGAGAGAGGGAGAAGTTCAGAATCTTTTTCTAGATTAGAGAAAATTGTGATTTTCTTTTAGCTTTTTCGAAAGCGAAAAAAAAAGTTTTCAGATTAACAAGTTGACAGTTTTTTTCTCTTTCATCTCTTTTTTTCTTCTTCTTCTTCTTAAATAATAATATTTCTCTTTCATCATCATCATCATCATAATCATAGACTTGAGCATCATCGTCAATTCATCATGATGAATGAAAAGCTTCTTAAAGAAAAACAAAATTGAATAGAAACTTTTTTTTCTTCATCTTCTTCTTCTTATAAAAGCCGATTTTGAGTAAAATGATGAGATGAGGAAGATGGAGAAGATGAAAGATGAAGATGAAGATACAATTAAGCATCTTTACATCATTTTCTACCTTAATCTGAATCCCTGTTAATAACCAATAATAATAATGATGATGATTAGCTTAGTGATAGTTTTCTTGTTTATTTTTCACTTGCCTTATTCTTATCATTAAATTAAAGGTAAGGGTCATCACCATTTGACCCTTGGTCATTGATGAGGAAAGAAACAACAACAACAACAACATCAATATCAAGTTCAACATGATCATCATTTGATTATTATTGTTGGTGGTTAATGGTCAAAGTTAATACAGTTTATGAATTAACTGACATTTTCCCATCAACAGGTAAGTTTCTAGTTCAATCAAATACGAAAATATTAGTTTATCATTATTGAATAACTAATACACACCAGGAGCACCTTGATTAACAATCAACATGAATTTTGATTTTCATTTTGATTTTCTGATTAATCACAATCAACAAAGTTGACTGTTAAACTAATACATTTTATGGAGCAAGAAAAAAAATTGATAAAAAGTAACTTTGATCACCAGAAAAAAAAACAAATTGAAAACGTAAACAAAGTTAACTGATAATTTAATCAGAATCATGGTTTTGATAAATCACAACATGATTAACATGATGATTCTGATTGTGAATATTTGATTGTAAGGATAACAATTTAATCCGAGACGTGAAGTAAATGTTAATAATAATTCATTTCTTCATGTTGATCATCAATTTCATGATAAACTTGAATTAAATTGTGAAAAATATTGAAAAGATAATCAATTTGAAATGAATAACAATGAAAACGATCAGTACAATCGGTTAAAAAACAACAATTAAATGAGTGAAATAAATCAAATCACAATTAAAACAAAAACTGTGAACAAAAGAAAAACAAAATGATCAACTAATCATATAATTAGCGTATTATTATTTATAATTAACTATTATTATCTCTTGATTATTAATATAATAAATATCCAAATATGAAGAGTGACCCTTTCCAATTGTAAGGTTAAGAGCATAATTTAAGGTGAAAATTGTTGTTTGTTTTTACCTGAGAGAGAGAGAGAGAGAGTTGATGATAATCATCATTATCATCATCTTCATCTTCATCTTGATCATCCTCATCTTTTTTTACTTTTTCCTTCCTTAATCTTTCATCATCATAATCATCTTTTAATATCAACCTACAATTTGAGCATCCGATGAATTGAGTTGGTGCTTAAGGGGGTGGAAGAGGCATCTTCATGATTAACATGATGGTGATGATGAGGAGGAAGGTGAGATGAGATGAGTGAGCTAAAGAGAGTAATAATTTACTGATGATAATGATACTTTCAATTATTATTGTTTAATAATAACGATAATTATGATTTAGGAATGAAAATTTTAATCATTCCAAATTGCTCCAAGTAATCAAGAGATAGAGAGAGAGAGAGAGAGAGATGAAAGTTACTATTAATAAACAATATTGAACAATTTAGAAACTTTTGTTTTTAAATCAATAAACTGTTACCACTTTTAATTTTTACTATACAATTGAATTAAATTAAATTAAATTTAGTTAAAGTGAAACTTAAGGCTGTAAATCAATTGTTTTAAATTTAAATTGTAATAAATTTGATTATAAAAAAAGTTTTTTTTTTCTTCATCATCATCAACATAATTTTAGACTAAGGTAAATAACATGATGATGATGGTGATGATGATGATGATGATGATAATTGATTAGATTGATTTTTAATTTAAGAAAAAGTAACAATTGCAATTAAATACATCATCATCATTATCCGAGTTATTAAATGATAATGATTAGTTAATCGTGATTGTTGTTGATGAGTTGAGAATGAAAAGTTTTTCAACCCTCATCATCATTACGATTAAGGTACGAAAAGGTAAAGGTAAATTGGGTAAACGCTTTAGTTTGGCTAGACTGCTTAGGGAAAAGTGGGTGGGGTGGGAGGGGTTGATGGCGAAAAGTGAATTTCTCGTGAAAAGCACAGTTATTATTGTGGAAAAGGATGGCGATAATGATGGCGAAGAGAAGATGAGGATGGTGATGAGGATGGCGAAAAGGAAAACTCGTTTTCTTTGTTTTCCTTTTCTGTTTTGTTTCTTTATATTTCTCAGGTAAATTTTCAATTCTCTTTTTCTTTTTCCTTCTTTTTACTTTTTTTCTTTCTTACTGGACACATGATAGATGGTCAAGTTTCAGGTGAAGGTGGTAAAAAAGGGCTAAAGCCCCTCCCTTGGCGACAAATACACTCTCATTTGAATAGATGGTAAAAATTTTCCAGGTAAAAGTTTCTTCTTCTTCCTCATCTTCTTTTCTTTCTGGACAAGTAAACAGATAATACAAGAGAGATGACCAGTTGGAATGATGCTGAGAGATGGACACCAGTGAATGATATATAAATAAAACAATCTTTTGACAAAGAGACACATTTATATTTATGTGTCCACCTTGAATCGGACAATGGTCAGTAAAAATAGAGAGAGAGAAAAGATTGACCCAAAGTAGAAGCGAAACAAAACAAAACAGTAGCAATACTACAACAGAAACAAAGGGGAAAAAAGTACAAAACAAAATGAGAATAAAAAAAACTGGACACACTGACCAACAGAGTTAATGTTAAACTCTCACTCTATTAACATATCATATAAATGTAATCAATTGACTTGCGAGAGAGACCAGCAAATTTATGCTGACAAAGTTTCAGGTAAATTGTCAAAATGGCAAGTGAATCAATCAAATGGAATGATGAAGAAAAAGCCAAAGTAACTTGAAGATGACCAATGGTCATTGACAGTAACAAATAACCATGAAATGGACAGTGAACATAATCCAATTTTTCATCAAGAAAAAAAAGGAAAAGTTTTCAAAAACATAAACTACAAAAACGATAATGAACTTTTAACTTGAAAATCTATTGGTGTCCATCAATTCCTGTAACCATTTGAATGTTGTGGTCAGTTTCAACTTGTACCTAGTATCTTAATCTGCCCAAGGCTATTTTTTACCTTTACCTTTATAAGATTTTGTTTTTGCAACAACAACAAAAAAATAACATTGACTTGTTATCCCTGATTGCAATTGCAATGGTAATAATAATAATACCAATCACTGCTAATCACTATAACAACGGTGTTGCAAATTGCTGATCTAGTGTTTGCAAACCATTGATGATGATGATGATGATGAGGATGATGATGAGGATGATAACAAAAACACCCTTGACCTAATCACATAGAAAAATCCTAATAACAAATGATTGAAACTTGAAATGCAACTTTGCTTTTAATCATCATCATCATCATCAAACAATTATCATTGATCAACCCAATGATCAACATAAGGGATGGATATAAAGAGAGAAACGTTAATCTTTACAATCAATTTTAATTTAGTTTTCAACAAACCCTATTGTTATAATCATGATAACAATCAAAGGTTGATGATGTTATGATTACTTGTCATTAAAGAAAAATGATTAAACAAGAAAAACTTTCATCTACTAACATTAAACTTGAGTAGGTTAACAATCAATGGTTGAGAGAAAAGCAATTACAATCAAAAAATCGTAATCATTGATGGTTAGTTAATTAAAAATAGGATAGACTTGGAATATGATAGACCAAAGGGATAGAGTTAATTGTAAATTGGTTAATTATTATTACAATTTAACTCAAACCATAAATCAATGGGAAATAATTATTATCATATTCAAGTGAATTAACAACAGTAAAAACGTAAAAGTTGATTAGAGTTAATTATTTACTCTCTCTCTCTCTCTCTATTTCTCGCCCAAACAATTTAACATGATTTATATAATAAAAAAAGAAAAGGTAATCAACTGATTGATTGTTGATTGAAAAATCGTCAAGATGATTATTGAAACATGAAGATAAATCGTAAATTGTTAAAATGTTGATTAACACTGTGGTTTAAATTGTTTGCTTTTAGTATTTATTATTGATATGAACAAGAAAAAACCTCTTCAACTTCAGTGGGTTCAAATTCACCACCGCCACAACCTCATCCACCTCCTCCTCCTCCCTTACCTGAGCCTCTTTCCACCCCGCTGAGAGACTAAGTTATTTATGTTATACCCCATGGGGAG